CCAGACCTGTGATGTCTCACGTTGCGAGGGTCACTTCCGAGTGTCATTACAGCAACGTGGGAGGACTCAGAAGTAAAGTATCTGAGCTCCTATCCCTCTGTTCCAACCTTGTCTTGGAAGACGGGGAACATGGTTATCAGGAGATATTAGTGACACCGTAGTTAACGCAGATCACGTGTTTCTGCTCGGGAGGGACACAGAAGGCAAAGATGCAGGTGTGTTGCGGCATACGTGAACAGTTGTTTCAAAGGTGAACACACCACTGACACCGTACTGGCGGAACCCCCAGACGCCATCTGGTGTCACTTCACGGTCAAACACAGTAAGTTCCTAGTTGAAGGAATCTATAGGTACCCCGATAGCAACTTTGAACGCAACCAAAAATTACTCCAGATAATATCCACGGTGTCGACTGTGGTGCATTGTCAGACCCTTATAGCTGGCGACTTCAACGCTCCAACCCTAAGCCTACAGCAAGGTGGCCAACCCGGGCCGGAAGTTCGGCTGTAGCTTGCTAAAAGCCATCCAAATTGCTGGGGTGCACAAAAAATCAGCGACAACACCCGTTGTGGGTTGGATGGTTAACCGCCTAAACTGGATTGTCTACTGACCAGTGATCACCCACTGGTTGAAAATGTTCAGGTCCCAACTCCCCTCGGAAGCAGCCGTCATGCTGTGGTAGTTTTCGACCTGGTAATCAAAGAACGATTATCGTGGGAAGGACCTCGCCCTTACCTCCGTTACAACAGAGCAAGCTATGAAGCAATGAACCAGTGCCTATCGAGGGCTCCACCGCGAGTGGATTGGTGCTTTTTATCAGTTGCCCAACACTAAGGATTGGCAAGAGACATGATTAAGGTGGCGGCCTCGCAAAGCACCCCCATGGTGGTAACGAAACTTAGAAAGTGGAACTCATTGCTAAAACGCGGCACTGAGCGCCTCCCAAAAGCTAAGAGAAAGGCATGGCAAAAATAGAGACTCCCCAGAGAAGAGGACGATCAGGACTCATACATGGTTGTACGAAATGGAGGCAACATCACGGTGTGGTGAGACAGGAGGTCGTTCCGCTCCAGCCTCACCAAGAAGCTTGTGGCAAACCTCAAAGACCCACACTTATTCATGGCAAAGAGAAACTCGTCAAGCGAAGGAGCATGCGTCACAAAAGTTGCGAACGAGGAAAACCCCTCTAGACAAGAAATCGCTGGGACGTTGAGCAGTACATCTGGGACAGCTCAAAATTCCATCAAGGAAGTACGCCCACCTACTGCCCGAAGTGCTCCCAGCGTTATCCGAATCAGCAGATACAGGAAGTACAAATAGCTCGTGCTGCTGTTCTCGATAAGCTATCGAAGCTAATTCCGGAATATCCCGAAGGTTGTGCGATGCATTCGCTCACCTATGTTGAAACAATGTGTAGGTCCCCATAAGCGGCACAATCCACAATCTTTTACGACAATTTTCGGACGAATAAAGACTACAAAGGGAGTGGAGACCGCCCATCCTCCTTCCTATTTTCAAAGGAGGAGACAGGTGGGACCCGAACTGTTAACGACCCATATCATATCTGCCAGTAATATCAAATGTTACGGAAAGTGTGATAGACGATCTCATCGGGGAATATCTGGAAAAAAACCAAGCCCTTGGTGACGCCCAACATGGCTTCCTAAAAGATGGGTCATGTGCCTCCGGCCTCCTGACGACCGATGATCACTAGACAGCATGCTGGGATCCCAAGGTCCCAGTCCACGTGAGTTTTCCGAATTTTGCCAGTCTTTGACACTGTCTCGCACACTAGCCTAATACACAAAATAGCTGCGTTCGGTATCCGTGCTCAGGTGCTATCGTGGCTCCAGAACCATTTAGACAGTAAGGAGTTCTGCACAAAAGTCAACAGGGTCTACTCAGCTTAGAGAACATCATCGTCCATTGTCTCACAAGGAGCGATCCGGAGTCCATTGTTGTGCCTACTGTTTGTGAATAACCTCCCACAGCATGTCAGTTCTCCGATTTTCTCCCACACTGACGACGTCTAGTTGTGGAGGGCAGTAACTTGCGAAACGGAATCCAGTGCACTTCAGAACGACCTAGAAGCATCAGAGGAGTTGGCGAAAAATAAAGAATTGACATTTGACCTGGATAAATGTAGGTCCTCGTTTTTCTGCACTCTTGATAGGCAGAAAGTGTCCTAGTCTCTCTATGATTCACCTCTATCTCACACCGGAGCGGAAAAAGACCTGGGTTCAATGGTGACAGAGAAACTGGACACCAGTTCCAATTACCCAGGAGATGCCTCAAAAGCCTACGGTGTACTATATTATGTGGGAAGACAACTAGGTGCCCACACAGCACAGCTCTCTTTGAAACTCTACAACACTTACGCACGACCCCACTTGGAGGTCCATAACGTCTTCGCCCCATCACAACTGGAAAGAGGTGAGAACCTACTGGGGAAAGTTCGGAGGTGAGTCAAAAATGGGGTTTTGGGATGCAAAGAAAACCATATGAGGACAGACTGAAAGACCTACGCCTACACTCTCTTAGCTACCAAAGGTTACAAGGTGACTTCATAACGACTTCCAAAATGCTGAACAACCCAGGTCACTGGAACAGAGGAATACCACCGAGTGGCCACCATGGTGATCCTCGTGGAAACCCAGAGAGAATTGCCCAGGAGAGTTGCCCTAAGAGAATTGTGTCAAAAAATCGTGTGCGTTCACACTTCTACTCCCCACGAGTCCGCGAGCACTGGAGTGCACCACTAGCAGAGGTAGCCTCCCCTCATCTGTTGAAAATTTCAAGAAAGGGCTAGATAGTCACACAGAGACCCATAGTCGACCTGCATGTAGTTGGAATACGAACTAAACAGAAGAAGTCAACTTCTGTCACATCATTCCAACTGTGTCGCTTCCACACCAGTCTTCTTTCCACTGTAGTCATTTAAGCTCTTTTCATCCCTTCCACTTGCCATGAGTTAGCCTCACTTACCTAAGTTCTTCATGTCTTTGCATCCCTCCTCACCTTACTTGGGTGTAAGTAGATTACTCCATCAGTTCACTTTTCTTTTCCGTTTTACTCACACAAAGTTGTCTTTCTAGGTTTTCACTTCACTGTCCCTAACTCTCTTTAACGACCAGTGCGAACTACTGTCAGGCAACTCGACATCTGAAGAAGCTGACTGCACCACAGTCTAAGGTGAACCAACCAACACTCAACCTCCTGATCTGCATACCAGAGCTATAGCAGACGAGTGGCAGGATCTACTGCGTTGGAATATGCCAGAGACCTGGAACCGTTTCACAAGAGCAAGAAGCGAGCAAGAAGAAATCAACTGGCTTACACAAGCTGGCTGACCAGATATTAGGTATTGGTTACTGACACCCATTTCACTTTCGGGTGTACTAGGACTTCAAACAGCGTTCATATATGTCTGCTATATGAAATCAAATCCAGAACATACAGCCGAAGAAATCAACTTCCTACTTCTAGGTAGCTAGTCTCAGTGAAACTACTGGTGGAAAGAAACTACTCGCTTCCAACTACGGACCGGTCTCCCTGATCTCTTGAGTTGCAAAGGTCATGGTGAGAGTCATAAATGGCTCGCTTCGTGATCACTTGCTTCAGAAGTCAATCCTAAACGACTGTCAGCATGGCCTTCTACCAGGAAAGTCATGTAACACGAATTTGTTGATAGCTTGGAATAGCTGGACGCTCTCTGTCGAGTAGAAAAAGCCTATACACACTGGTTTACTTGATTTTTCTAAAGCCTTTGGCCGAATAAATCACGATATCTTTTGTAAGAAACTCCAGCTCATGGGTGTAGGCGGAAAATTATTAATTTGGCCTAGAGATTATCTGTACACCAGGGTGCAGTCAGTTAGAGCTGGCCCCTCTCTATCTAATTGGTTCCCGATGCTGAGTGGTGTGCCTCAAGGTTCCATACTGGGCCCACCACTGTTTCTTGTCTTTATCAATGACCTACCATGGGTCCTCAGTTCACATTCACTATTATATGCCGATGATCTGAAGATCTGGAGGGAAATACAGGAACCAACGGACATTTCGATCTTCCAGGAAAACTTTACGAAAGTACTTAATTGGGCTACAGAAAACCTGCTTCCTCTCAACTCTAAGAAGTGTCGAATTATGATAGTTGAAAAACATAAAGGCAGTCCCAATTCTTACTCTCTAGGTGAAGTAAATATCTGTCACTCTAACATGGAACAAGATTTGGGAGTTACACTAAATGATACACTAGGAGCCTCAGTTCACTGTCACTCCACAGCCAATAGGGCTTATGGAATCCTGGGGTTTCTCTCGCGAACCTTAGGGTGTCTAACTCCTTCTCTTTTCACCACAGTGTATGCTCTGTACATTCGTCCTCATTTAGAAAAAAATTCGCTTGCAATGTCCCCATACTTGAGGAAGAACATAGCCATCCGAGAGCGGGTACAGAGAAGAGCTACAAGGAAAGTGATTAGGCTGCGGCACAAACCGTACCCAGACTGCCTAGTTGCTCTTTAGCTGCACCCAGCACAATACCCCAGGATCAGAGGGGATATGATCATGATCTATCACGTCGCCCATAATCCGCTCTATCCTAACAGATCCCTTCTAAACTTTAGTCGGAAACGTGACTTGATTGGTCACCCGTTAAGAATAGAGCATGAGAGTGCACGTACAAAGATCCGTGCTAACTCATTTACAGTTAGAGTCTGTAAACTGTGGAATTCCCTCTTTTCAGTAGTTGTTAAAGCCCAATCCTCTGACACTTTTAAAAGGAGGCTAGACGCACACCTCTACTCCTACGGTACCGACGGGCTATACTCGAGAAGCTTTCCCCAGATCAAATGCAGTAATACTAACTTGAGACTAGATTAGTTGATTAATCGTATCTCTTTCCTTTCAAGTTTTTCAAAACCGGGAAGATAATTGTGACCATTTTAAACTCAGAACGTATTCCAATAAGACAGACGTAGAACCCAAAGAACCGCCTTTCACTTAATCTACGACACGAGGTTTGAAGTTTGGTGACCTTGACAGGAGGCTCTGGTGTTGCTTTTGTTCGTATGATGGAGGTTGAGAGCTTGTGCCAGTATGGTGGGATTAGCGAAGATGAGTTGGCAACTGTTGGGTCTGAGTTAGTCACCAAACTAAATATAGCGTTTGACAACATTTATCACGATGCTAAAGCAGCAAAGGAAAAACTTGCAAATCTTCAAAAATCACAAGGTAGAGTTATTCGAATTCTTGCTAAAATCATAGAGGAAAATTTGTTACGCTACGAAACTGAGGAGTTTGGATTAAAGTCGCTCTCTGAAGAACTTGAGAGAAAACTTGAGGAATGCAGGAATGCTCTGCGCACAATGGAAGAAAAGTTGCATAATTCCAATTCAGAAAAAGAGGAATTTCGTTCGAAGTTGAATGATTGTTTGTCTGTTAATAATGAACTCAACTTCGCTATAAGAGGCTTAGAGAATGAAAAAGAGATTCTGAATGACCAGTTGAAGAGCAAGCTTGAACTGGTTGATTCGTTGAGTACTGAGATAAGCGGGCTGCGTTCAGAATCTGAGAGTGTGCGTAAATTAAAAATGGAGCTGATGCTGAAGTCAGAAGATATTACTGGACGGGAAGCTTCCGTAAAGGTATATTGTACTGTTTCTATTCAGTCTGAATCCTAGGCTCAAGAGGCGCGTTGGTCTGATGAATTGTCTAATCTGCAACGACACAACAGTTGGTTAGAAGATCGCCTCCGAGAAACAACTGATCAGCTACTGACTGTTCGCAGGGATTCGGTAAGGTCAAGATAACTTATTCACATTTTGTAGTACCAGAAGTCTTATTCTCTGGAAGCTGAGCTGGGTCTTCGCACGGCGGAGGTAAGTTCTTGATATTCATTAACTCTGGCTTAGTTGGAAAATGCAAAACAGTCTGTTGAAAGACTAGAGGAGAGTGTCATTAAGCTCACTCAGGCGAATGAGGAATATGTCATTAAGTTGAAACTAGTAAGCATTCTTTTCACTCTGACTCTTTAAGGTGTCTGATGAACAAATAAAAATGGAACAGCTCTATGGGAATGAAATTGATGCACAAAAACAGCTGATAAACCTATACAAGGTAATAATCAATTTCACACTTTATGTGAAAATCTAAGGAGCAAGTAAAAGAATTAGAAGACAAGAACGAAGAACTAAGTAATGCTGCATCTTCGATGCAAAGGGTTTTGAAGGATGCTTATGAAAGTAAGTTGAGTCCGTTCACTTACATCTGCGTGCAGATGTTTCAAAGTTGGAGGCCGAAAAATCTTCATTGAAAGCACAATGCAACGAGGCTAATGCCAAACTTCAGACTACTACCGAACATCTGACTTCGGAACTAGAGCGTAGTCAGAACCTCCTAGACAAGTTCAGAGTAGACGGTAAGACTGGCAACAGTACCAGATACATTTTATCTCTGCAAAATAACTGCTGTAATTCCTTAGCATTCAGATAAGTTTCAGTTATATTCGTTGTTGTGCGATTCTCTTTTCATTGCTGCTGCACTCTGTTTTTCGAGATAAGATCTCGAAATATTTAGAGGATTGTTTTACCGGTTATCTAGTAGACGGATAACAAGTTGCTTTGTTCGGGCATCAGACGTCAAGTATCTTAACTCTTCTCTGAGCTATCAAATGTTTATTTGACTGTTTCACAATGCTCTCAGGGCTTTTTTACATGCTTCTTTCATTGTTTTCATTGAAGTTAAAATATTATGGTATGGCATTTAGTTTTTTCATGCAAGTCGCCGGATGATATCAAGTACCAAATCTTTGCTGGAACAGGTAATTCAGCAGGCACAGCGATTTTACCATAAATGCAAAAGTGAAAACAAACCCAGTAGTGTGCGTTAAGACTTGTTTACACCCGTCTCATATTTTTTGTAATCATATTTGCTAGTGGTTGGTGGTCGAATCCAAGATGTGAATTTTTTCCTTTTCAAGACATTTCTTGTGCCTGTATATGTTGTTCCTACTGTGTTTAGAACCTACACTTGTTACTTGCTGCTGGTGTCGATCGCGCTACTACCGCACCTTCCGGAGTACGTGTTCAGAGAGCGACCACACGTGTTTGCGTCTATCTGAACGTGTAAAATGTAGCAGCGACTATTGCTAGCGTTGCTAGACACTAAAGCACTAAAGTGAGAAACTGCCTCGACAGTTAACGAAACAGAACAAGACCACTCATTCAGATTAAACTTGAATCCACTTCCAGTCTTCTGTAAAAACAGCGTTAAAGATCGTAGTTGACTGTCAGAAGTGGTTAGAAAAGGCGAGCTTTTATGGCAGTGGATGCACGTGACGCAACTGTGTACGCTCAAAACACAATCAGGAGTGGAAAAAAATATTGGTTGAATCGAAGTCGTCTACGTAGTGACCGCGAACAGTGATGGGCAGCGAAGTGTAAGAAGATAGGAAAGACAGACAGGTATCAGTATACAGTTATTTAAATCTACTAAAGAAATTGGGACAAAGATGAATGATTAGTGGGACTATTTTGGAGAAGGATAGACCCGCGGTTCACTCGCAGGAGAGACGACTAGGATGATGGCCGTAACACTTTGGGGGACAGTTCGACTGGCCTCCAGCTGCTATCCTGTTTCTTAATACCCAGTTGGATCTTGGTAAAAACATCGAGGTAGAACCTCCACAACATACAGAAATCGGAAGACCTGTAGGTAACCTGAGAAGACGAAGAGCAGCGTGCCCAGATGTACTAGAACCAGAGGTACGGCGGCAGAGGATTATTGGTCCAACTAACCGGAGTATTAATTAGTGTAAGAGTCATGTGTAATCCCCTCTGAAAGATTTCAGTCGCTGATTGTCCGACATTTCAAAAAGGGGAGATGTCCTCTTGTGATTTTCACAGGGGATAGACAGTTTCTATGATTCTAGCTTCTACAATCATTAGACGTCTGAGTAAAGCTCAGAAGTAGCAAACTCGAGAAAACCAGACAGGCTTCAGACCTGACCATGTGTGTGTCAATCAGATATTCACACCACCAGATTCTGGAACACAGGCGCACTTATCGACACTGGCCGTATTTCTTGACCTGAAGGTGGCGTTCGATGGAGAGGTTTTAGGGGAGTGTCACACTGAAAAGGGTGTTAAGTAAGTACGTCACTCTGTTGATGGCTCTTTACTCGAATACCCTTGGGCGTTAGGGCCTATGGTGAGTTGTCAGGTGAGCTGTATATGTTGAGTGATGTTTGACAAGGATTCTCACTCCACTCCTACTCAATGTCATCATTAACGTTCTTATGCAGGTCTCCCTCTCGTCGTCTGACTTCATACAGATTGACGTCACAGGAGACTCCGTGGTAGACGTACAGTATGCAGATGACATGGTCCTGTTAATTGAAGACACTGACAACTTGCAGTCTTCTAGGCACACTGAGCATCTATTTTGGAATGTTTGGAATGCATTTCTCGCCACCCACGTGCAAATTGTCACTTCAAGACTGATCTTCGGCAGCGCATCGGTTAACAATGGAGTGAAATTGTTGAGGGTTTTGACCACTTCACTTGCCTGGAAAGTCGGATCAGCCGTAGTGGTCAGTGACCTACGAAGGCTCTGCACACATACATAAAGACTCTGGTTTCCGCCAACTTGCACCATGCTTAGCGCTGCCACAATATCCGATTGTCTATTAAGGGTTGTGTGCTGCGCTGAAGTTCTCTGTCTTCTATGTGACTATGAATCATGGCCATTAATGGTAGAAAATATAAGAAAGCTTCAGGTCCTCGACCACGTTGCCTTCGCAATGTAGTTCGTATCATGGCGTCACTGCGTCAGTAATGCAGAAGTATAGAATTTTAAAGAGAAAAGTCAGTTAATGCGGTTGTGAACCTTTATCGACTCAACTGACTGGGATGTGTGTTATGTATACTTAGTCACCGTCTACTTCTTCTCTTCAATGTTAGCTAAAGTAGGTCTGGGTAGGAAAAAGATTAGGAGCTGCCTGATTAAAACATATCATCAGTGCATGAATTCTTTGACTGTTGGTGTAAACCATGTAGGGAGATGAAGACCAGGAGGTTTTGGCTCACATAACAACAAAAACCAATAGTCCGAGACTCTAAGTGACATTGGTCAAAATCGACGTCAGTGACGCTGATGTATCGATACGTTATCTTAATCTTAACTGCTATACTGAATTCAGCATTTTCTCATTCTTCCTTCCTCTCTATTTATACTTTCTACTGTTTTTGACCGATCCTTTATTTCTTTCATTTTGTTGCGTTGTTACTTAATGTGCTGATGTGAAGTGCGGCAACGTAAACCGTTACACAGTAATGTCTAGCCCTACTTTGATATTGATGATGATGAGTCACGAAAGCGTGTTCTTCCTTTTGTTGCTTGTCCGTTTAAGAAAAAAAGACATCTGATAACGGTGCAGAATTGTGTAAGCTTTAAAGTTGTTTTAGTCAGAAAGCAGGTCATGCTCGTTCGTGACACCACGACTAACATCTTAATTGCACAAGAAACCCATAGATTTCACTTCATCATAACGCATGGTAACCGCATCCTATAAAATGGTCAGTCGATATCAACATGGGGTCTGGCCTTACTGCATAACGATCCAAGTTGCCACACCTACCAGCACATCAAGAGAAAAGGCACCAAGATGAGAGGGTTAAGGACAAAAAAGTCAGTAGTGGTATGAAGTGATAAAGAAAGAGAGAGGAATGAGACAATAATCGAAATTGATGTTATCGGATTCAAGTCACATCATCTAAAGTTTGTAACCACCAGCTTCTGCTGTCACACAAACCACAACCAGGAAGTTTTCATTCCCATACGCTACTTACACCAACAGTTAAAGACTTCATCCACGGATGCCACGTGTTGATCTGGTGGTCTTTAGCTCTTTTCAATCTTCAAACTACTTCAGCCAACATTTTCCAACTGGACAAACGGAAACTAGGCGTATGTAACACATATCTCAGCCATCTGGGTTGGTGAAAGTTTACAGTCTCATACAATGAATTTCCTCTCTTCCCTAATACTTTGCACCTGACTTCTGCGTTACTCACTTAGTGACACTATGACACGACCTCTGTTGCGAAGGCAGCGGTAATCGAACTTCCGAAGCCTTTCATGTTCTGTCTTTAGTAACTATACTCAGTCTACAACTAACACTAAGATATAACATCTTTGCCGTAAATGGCTTAATTTGCCGAAAGCCAATTGAACAATGTGTAAGGATATCGTTGGTTACCAGCTCTGAAACCTATTTGATTTTTTCGGTCCTGCTGCTCTAGAAATTGCATCTAGTGCTTGTAGAACCGAGATTGCTAGACACTCAGTTCTTCAGTCTTCAGGAATGTTTATTGCTTTTCTTGAAGACAGACAATCCGTTACTCTGACCAATCTGAAGGAATTGTCTGGTTTTCGTACGCTGGCTAAAACTAGTTAATCCAGCTAATTATGCTTGACCACTATAACTAAACTCCTTTTTTACTAGTCCATCGGTGCCAGCTGTCATTTCTAGACGTACACAACCCACTTGATGACTCACCATAGACTCACACACCCGTGGGTATTGAGTACAAAACTTACAACTGGCGTTGTATTTACTTGATACACCTTTCCATGATCAGCAGTCGGATGTCTCTTGAACTTAGTAATCCTTTCGTATTTGGTCAAGATACTAATGCTCTGAGGTTATAAACTGAGCAAGTATTCAGTTAAGCTGAGGCTCATTTGTTTTGGCAATCAATTTTCAAACAAATTCTGCCATATATACGGAGTTTTGGGCGACCAGTCTTCATACTATAAGTGTTGGTCTGGGTTTAGTGAAAGAACCAGCATGTGATTGGGTTACATACACATTTGTGTTCTTTTGGATTTACAGAAGCAGCTTTACCGCTTTATAGTGCTTTCAAATTTCACATTCATTGTACATCTGTATATCAGCTGCCTGTAAAATTTACATGCGAATTTAAGGCAACTTCATAATTAAACATTATCAATCACTTGTCTTATAAAAGATACCTAAATACTGCATTTTCCAGGTCTGTCCGAGGAAGAATTACGCCAGCTGAATCCATCTGTGTCAGCTACCTTAAGCGCTTTAAAAAGTGGACACAGTCTGACTCAGCTTTATGCCGATTATGTGCAGATTGTTGAAGATAGAGACCAACTGCGACTTGATAAACAGCGGTTAACAGAATATGTCGAACAGATAGTCGATGAACTCAAAGATAAAGGTAATTAATTTTCTAAATTAGTTGTTTATATTGATATTTTTAAAAGCATTCGATTTTCTCTTTGTAGTTTGTCTAGCGCTTACTGCAAGCTGTAAATATTTAACACATAAGCTACCGTAAAGAAGTGGTGTTGAAGTATGAGTGAAAATGTAACAATGCAAACGTCTTTTAGGGCATGAATTAATTTCTTGAGTGTTCTGATGTAGAACCATCGGGAAGTAGTGCATTTTGTATGACTGGTGCGATTGCATCTCTTAGTTTGCAACATTGAAAATTTAAGCAGCTTCATTTACTCGTTAGTGTTCATCTTTCCTATACATTTTTTAAGACAGCTGTCTTATAATGGTGTAAATTAAACTAATATGCATATTCTCAAGTTTCTTGTTTGTTTCATGGTCCTGATAATTGTATAGACCTTCAGTTATCATAACGGGCCGTACAAAAGCCTCTAAGCGATATACTTTAATTGACTAGTTAGCTTTTGGCGATCGGCCTACGAATCAGCTTTTGAATTCTGTTAACATAGAGGGATCATAAGTTCTACCCAATTTATGCTTCAAAATATACAGTTTACTCCATTAAATCGGCGCTAATTGCATGATGGCGTCACTTATTAAAGATGATTTTTACGTAGTTCGAGAAGAAACGCACAAAACGTATTTCTCGAGAGCACCCTGTGAAATGCAGCATGATTCTAAATAGTGTAGTTTGAGGCGTAATTGCAAGTAGTCTTACAGTTTTCATTTTTTTATGAATCTGGTTTGTATGGTCAGTATAGTAAACCAGTTGAACTGCACATCGGGCTATCATAGTAAAACAGGATTTACATTTATAGACAAATAGCAGGTTTCTTTAAGGACATCACTGTAGCTATGTATTTTTGTTTCTTGACTCGTTTATATAGTTTATTGTGTGACTGCGTTTTAATGTTTTACCTTTTACCTTCACGCTACTTTTGTAGCTCCTCTTCTGCGCAGCCATCAGGACGACTACCGAAAGATACAAGGAGAGTTAAAAGAAATTACTAGTTCTTACCATTGTATATCGAAAAAGTTTGAGGAATTACAGTTGCAGAAGCGAGAAAGTGAACGTCGCGCTGGGTTTTATCAGCGAGAGACAACAAGACTTAAGCAGACATGTTCAGATTTGTCTAAGCAGGTAAGTAGTTTTTCCTTAACTGTACGTCTCGAGCTGTGCTAGCGTTTTGCAGTTAATATTCATAATGTAAAAACGCTTTGCGTATGTATTTTTGTCAAGTGGTCTGTTTTACAGATTCTATCTCGTTGTGACCATGGGATTCATGTACTGCACAAACCTAACCAATTCTTCTTGATAGGAGATTTGTTCTCGAAATACAGCTTTATCTGAATGGTAGTGTTGTGGTCAGAAGCAGCATGAGTTTAAGAAATCTCATTGGACAGGAGTGTAGGGTAAGGTTATGAAACGTTAAATTAGTAATGTTCCTACCTTAAGAACCATTTTTAATGGAGATCTCAGGAAAGTTGAACATTTCTATGTGCTACGTTATGTGCTAGTTATGTCTAGTGTTTAGGAGCTTGTTATGCTGTCAGTTTACCCAGGTCGAAGTGTGTATGAAAAATTCATACCAATAACAAAATAGTAATTAAATGCTGAATCCACCAATTTGAAGTTCCTCAGATGCACCTAACTGGTAGTTGAATAACTTGATGTGGTGGTCGGGCTTGCATGTCACAATCACCCAACGAGCTATACTGGTAGACCAGCTATGGTGATCGAGGTCCTACCGTGTCAGAAAGGTCTGTTGTAAGACGAAAAGGACTTACAATTGCGGTGTAAATTACATCACTATGATAAGGGTCTGAGGGCGAAGTCATACTGCTGCCAGCTGGATGGGGTGTGGCAGCAGTAAACTGTTTCCTTTGGATGACCAGCTGTGCTACTCTGGTTCTTCCTTTCCAATAGGAGAGAGAGGCAGAGGATAGAAAAGGTCGGCTCCCAAAATAGCACCCACTCCCACCCCCTCGAGGCATGCCGATGCTTGCTACAGAGATTCATAGTCGGATTCAAAACCGAAATCTCAAAATTGCCAAAAGACCATGTGTAACCGGCTTCAATCAGATGTCCCATGAGCTTTGCGGTCACACACTATATCTTCCTTTTCAGGTACCTGCACGCTCCCAGTACTACACAAGACCCAATCAAATACAACCTATCCCCCATAACTTTGTCACTTCCTTTGCCGTCACATGATGCTAATATTACGCTTATTACACCTCCAACCTCTGACTCTGCGACCATTGCCAACGATAAAAGTCATCAGAACCTCACTCACAGTCTCACAAGACACCGCCATTGGTTTCATGCAGGAGCTTTCAACGTTCAAACTCTTTGCCAGGTCGGACAGCAAGCATCACTCTCCAGAACTCTGGAATCTTAAGCCATGGGTATATACTGTGTCTCTAAGACAGGACCCGAGTGTGGTTATTAAATTGACGTCAGCTGTATCTTCAAAATTCACCTCACGAGTATCTGGAGACCCAATGGCTAGCTTTCGTGGACTTACTGGTGTAGCCATAGCATTGGGTTGTAGAGCAGAAAATGCGCTTCTCGACACCAGCCGTCTGTGTTCTGTTTGATTGGATTGATCTGTAAGGACTAGGAAGGATTGTGACACTAGGCGATGCCTACTGTTTATCTCCGCCTACTCACTCACCAACTGCAGTTCGGATGGTGCGAAGGATAAATTCGGTAAGAAGCTATCGATTTTACTACGGAAAGTAAAATGTTCAAATCTAGTCGTAGTGGCAGGGGGCTTTAATACTCGAGTAGGGAAGCTGAGCCAGTCGGAAAGGCCTCTTGGGGGCATTTACGAAATCACTTGCTAAAGTGGTGATTGTCCTGAAAACTTCAAGACCTCATTAAGGGAAGAGATAGCCAAGCGTTTATCTGAACATGACAGCAATACTGGGAAAACTTAGTGTAATATTAAGTCCACTGTAGAAGCACTTGGTAACCCATACCCCAAAGGTTAGCAAACGTCATTGAATTTTCGCGACGTCATCCCAGCTGACTGATTTGAGAAGACTGATCCTAGCTGGGTCTGACCACGATAAAGAGCTAAAGGAACTAGGAAGTAGGTTGACGAAGAGTCTTCGCGTCGACCACGAGCAGTGGTGAGTGGCGAAACTGAGAGAGATGGAGAAGGCATCACCGTTGGGTAACACGCCGCAACTGCCTAGGCTTATTCATAATACCGGCAAGAAAAGATAATGGTGAGGGAAACCATCACTGAATGGGATGGAACGCTGATAACTTCCCAGGACAGGCGTCTAGAAATTCGGGCAGAACACTCTGATGCACAGTTTAACTGGCTCTCAGCAACGCTTCAGTTGCTTAACATCTAGCCTGGACGTGAATGGAATGTGAATGTCGGTCCTCTAACTCTCCTTGAAGTTAAGGAAGTTGTATCGAACCTGAGACGATGCAAAGCAGCAGGACCTAATAGTTTGCCACCTGAAGTTTTCAAGGATGGAGGTAGGAAATTGCTAATTAAAGTGATGAAGGTACTAGGCACCGTATGGGAATTGGTGAAAGTGTCATCGAATGGGTGTACTTCATTGATAATCCCAGTCTATAAGAAGGGGAAGAAATCTCTTTATGACAACCATGGAGCAATTAGTTTGACTAGTATTGTGTCCATAGTTATGCAACGCCTAACTGGAGCTCGAAAACAGCAAACTCGAAAAAACTAGGGAGGTTTCGGGCGGACCTGGATAAGGGTGCATCGATCACATTTTCACCCTATGGCAGGTCTTGGAACACGGGCATACCTACCGACCAGCAGCTGATACTTGCTGCATATCTTGACTTGAAGGCGTCATTTGACTCTGTCGAGTGTGAGGTGCTGTAGTAGTGTGTGACTGTGAGAGGAGTACGGAGCAAGTATATAGCGCTTATCATAGCTCTCCACTCGAACTCACACAGCCATGTCAGAGCTTATGGAGAGTTGTCTTCGGAATTGATGACAGTTCGTGGTGTGCATCAAGGATGCCCACTGTCAACGTTCCTATTTAACTTCGTTATAAACGTACTAATAGACATAACCTTAGGTACGTCTGTCTGACTTCACAAGGGTTGACTTACTCCCTGGAGGTCATGTGGTTGACTTGGATAATGCAGACAGTATTGTCCAGTTGGGTGAGGACGCTGACAAAATGCAGGGTCTTGTGAACGCTTTGAGCATAAACGTGAATATGTTTGGCATGCGTTTCCCTGTCACCTGTCAAATGTAAGATGATGCTCCAAGACTGGTCTGTTGCAAGTACTCCCGATTTAATGATAGGGAGTGAAGTGGGGTAATGTATCGACCACTTCACTTACTTGAGGAGTTACTTCAGCTCACCAAGCGGGCTAGTTGCTGACAAAATCTCAGCTTGGCTACACAGAAGGCTTGCTTTGCATTTGCCAACTTGCATCATCTGTCCTGCCGGTGCGATATCCGATTATCTGTCAAAGGACTAGTTGTATGACTGAGACGTGGTCGATAAAAGTAGAAGACACGTAGCGGTTACTAGGTTTTGATCACAGATGTCTTCGTAGTATTGCTCGCTTGTGGTGGAATCACTGTGTGAGCAATGTTGAAGTCAGGCGAAGCGTACTAGATAAGATAAACAAGTCGGTTGGTGATGTTGTGAACCTTAGTCGACTGAGTTGGCTTGAATATGTATTGCTCATGTTTAGCCGCCGTCTACCTCGATGTGCCATGTTCTTGAGGGAATTTGGTTTAGGTTGGAAGAAGGTTCAAAGTGACCAAACCAAGACGTGGTACTAGTCAATGAAGTCTCTTACCGTTGGTCTAAGCCGTGTTGGGAGTGTCCGAGACGGCAGGAATCAGTGGTTAAGGACTGACTGTTGGTAGCATGGCTGACAATCGGTCGCAATGACGCAGATCTATTCACTGCTTGACATCTAAAGCTTGATTATTTGCATTACCTTTATCTTCAGATTGTTTATTCTGTCACACTACTTTTTCTACTTTGATATCACTCCTTTTCTATCCACCTGTTCTTTGTATGCTACTTTGTATACTATTTGAACCAATGGATCTGTGTACGAGGTTCTACGTTGATTTTGTCAGTCAGTCTGCAGATGCATCGTTCTTTCCAGTGGCTTGACTTTTAAACTATGGGTCACGGGTTTGAACTTCGTGGCACCTACTTTGGCTGGTCAATCGGCTAGTATCATTAACCCTCACACAATAAGTGTACCTACAGCCTGACACATAAAAGCCTTGAGTTGCACTTTCTTTTCCTATACATTAGAAAAAAAACAATCAAGTATTACACGCAATCATACGTGGGAAGTCTTGTGACTTTCGCACAGTGTATTGGCACGACACGTTTAGAATAGTCTTATCAGAGACTCACTTGTTTTATGCATTCATATGATAAAAACTAAAATAATGCGTTAAAAAAGCAGAGGAAATCAAATAAGGCGATAAAGTTAGAGATCAGATTATAGGTATAAGCAACTGATGGAAAACAATAGCAGAACAACATTGATTCTATGATGAATAAGGAAGTGAACTTTCATGTGATAGTGAACTTTCGGAACTGGAAATCTGATTCATTTCTGTTGTCACTGAAGCTTCCATAGATTTACAAACGCTTCCAGGCTTAACTGATATGTGTGAAAGGTGAATTAACATTATTCGAAGATGTGTTTTGCAGTTGATGAGCTCAGAAGTCCAATACCAACGTCATCAAGGTCAGATGATCTGGCTTTTGTCCTGTTAGTGGTGTTGATTTGTAGTTTTGTTTTGCCTGGTTTTGAACATCGTTGATAGGAATTCACGAATTCTCCAGGCAAATTGACTGTGAACAATTCTCAGCTTCCCTTGAAAGATAAAATCTGTAGACAGGCTAATAACTCAACCATAAAACAAAACTGGGAAACAGGTGCTTCATTTTTCGATTTTGAAACAAAATAAAACCATAACATCCAGCAAAGTGGTAAAGAAAAGGGAGTAAAGACTGCATTTAGTCGAATAAAAGATGATTCACTGTTTTACGGAAACAGTTACAACATAATACTGTAATGTTTAAATTAAATCTGTCTACATAAATCTAAATCCCAATTTAAGCGCCTGGTAGTTATTTTGCAGGACAAAACCACTGTAAATATTTCCCACCAAATCCTCAGGTGTGCAACTGTGATGAGATTTGAAAATATGGTTTGTAGTGTAGCGTACTTGCATATCTGTCCAAATCCTCGCATACGATATCAGCATTGCTGGAGGAAATCAGCAAGGAAAGAAAATCTCGGTATCAATTGGAACATAAAAAAACAGGACAATAACCAAAGTAAGAGATACATAATAATATTGTAATCCACGTTTACAGCAGGGTAAGGATAAGGCATCCATATTTCTTTGCAAATGTGATTGATTTCGAACCTTTTCTAAGGTGATTATATAAGTAAAGTTTTGACGTAATCTCAGCGTGTTTGACAAAACTTGAATGAAATCATAAGATGAGACGGATTAAAACTAGTCCTGTAAATTAACTCACTATTTTAGCTTAGATTACTAAGTATTTTCATTCCAAATGTAGCTGTAGCTATTGAATAGATCGGTAGGTGAAGAATTTAGTGGACCACTTAACATGAGCAAGTTAACTTACTTTATTGTGTATACAGGAATAGAAACTTCTACTGTCATACCGGTTTTTATGATATTGGTGACCCAACTTTATACTCATCTGTGTCACTTTAGACTTTCTAAACCTGCAGAATAATGCTGATAATGTATTTTCTTTCGGTTTATTTACAGGTGAAATCACTTTTGTATGAGGTTGAAGTATGCAAAGGGACTGTGATTCGCCACGAAGACGATCCACATCTAACGGCAACTACGAAAGATGCTTCAGATTCTCCTAACTATCAGCCACTTCCCGATAGCTCAATGGATATTAGCAGTGTTTCAAACATGCTCGAGAATATAGCCTCTGCCGCTAGTGTTATTGATGACCACCTTGTTACGTGGCGGGACTTAGATGAATTGCAGTCTCAAAATCAACGACTGCTCTGTGTTGCTCGTGATCTGGCTAGTCAACTGGAAAAATATGAACGAGAGGGTTCAGAAACAAGTAAACGTATTTCTGAGCTTTCTTCTCGCGTGGAAACCCTATCTGGAGAACTCGACGTGGTGCGTTTAGCTGCTCGTGAAGCACGAACAGAGGCTAATATGTTTGTTCAACAGCGTGATCAATATCGTGCTTTACTGAGGAGATATGATATAGATGTACGGGATAAAGAAGATATTAGCTCGAGTCAAAGCCAAGAGTCTATTTCTGATGGTGTAGATCTACCAAGTCATTGTGCAGCTAATGTTAAAACTCCAAGTAAGATTTATTTATGCCTGAAACTTGTTTTTGTATCTAGCGAAACTGACCTATGGCCTGTGAACTATAATTACTTATTCTCCATATCTACGGCAGTCATTTTTTTCTCAAACTGTTCACATCGTTGTCTATTTTTTTGAAGATAAAAGTCCACTTCCCAATAATACATCCTCTGCCGTAGTTGAACGTCTGGAAAGTACTCTAAGTTCATTGCAAACCGAATTCACCCGCTATCGTGAAGACAAACTGGAGTCAGACAATGTATATACTACTACTATTGATAATCTGCGGAAAGAATATAATGAGGTTAGGCTGTTGAATCAGAAGCTCAGTTCACAGGTTAGTCAATCTTTTTGAGACAAATAGTACATTTCTCATCTGCATCTGCGTAAATTATGGAATTTTTAAAATTGTCATCGTTACATTTTTCTTGGAAATCCTTGGTTAAAGTGAATAGTTTTGTATGCCAGAAAAAAAACACTAGACGATCCTTGGGTGTCTGTGCTTAAACAAAGACATTAAAATACATTGTATTATGTCAATGTAGTGCACCAAAATGTGGATTGCGTTAACTGGCTAATCTCAGGTAATTGGCCACGTACTAGCTAAACTGGTTTTTTGCACTTTTTTCAACAGGTCAAACCGTATTCTTTTGTCGGTCGTGATTATTACTGTATGTTTTCATAAACTGATGTTTCTAGGGCCTCTACCGTAAATTACATGGCTAGCTACAGCTGTTCTGTCCTCTGTAACCTCTACAAATATGATAGTCATTTTGACTATCTGAGATAGCCGTGATTTGGCAGACTAGTATTGATACTGGGTGGCTATTAAAGGTGAAGTGAAAATTTGGACTGCGGCTGGATTCGAACCAGTGACCACCGAGTTTTCTGCTCGGTGCTCTAACAACTGAACTACGAGGTTCGACTTCTGATCAAATTTTTATTTCACCTCAATCACCATGGGTTTCGCCCGACCACCATGTGAATTCATGACACGGTACTATCGCTTAATCCTATTCATACTGGCTGTCTAGTCAAGACGTTTCGTCCCAATGCAAATTTAACTGAATTAAAGAAGGGTAGCATCATATTGGTTATCATTTTGACTATCTGAGATGCTCGTGGTTTGGCATACTAGTATTGATACTGGGTGGTGATTGAAGGTGAAATGGTAGAGCACCGGGCCGGAAACTCGGTGGTCGCTAGTTCGAATTTGACCGCTGTCCGAATTTTTAGCTCACCTTCAAATATGGTAGTATTAACCCTAGGCATTTTATTTTATTTCTTCGCCATACACCCACTCTAAGATTTTAATTGATTTCACCGTCAATGTATGAAAATAATTAGATGGTTCGGTCTTTTAACTTTCAACCATTCAATTTGGTTGACATCTCACTACATTCACCTAAGTTAGCATGATTTTTAAAAACTTTTTTCATAATTTGTACTGTATAGTTTGTCTTAGTTTGTGTTGTAGAGTGTTTCACTACATCGATCACGTCTGTAGAAGTAATTCAAATCAATTCGTATATGCGCAAATGAAGTCTCAAAGTAAATACGGAAGAAATAGTGGAGCTGTGGGTCATTGGTTTAGGGAGATAACTTTCGACCAATAAGTCATGGGTTCCAGACCCGCTCCACCTATCGAAGTTTGGGCTGCTAGGTAGTATCACTAGCCCACAATAAAGGTGATTCATCGCCTAATGCACGGAAATACACAAGGTTGATGAGTGCATTTCTTTTTTTATTTCTGCGGAAGAAATACTCTCCATTCTATACTACGTATGAATGAAAATAAATAAGACGTTACACATCAATCACACCTAGGTTTGTGTGCTAAGACGACGGGCCACACTTATTGTATGAGAACTGTGATACTACCTGACTGCCTAAAACTCAGTAAGGAAAGTGCGGTTCAAACCCAGCACCAGTCTATCACAAATACACACTTGTGGAAACCGTGAGATATCTCTCTATTTACCAGATAGTTGATGCACAAAGTTCGTGCATTGGGTTCTGCTTCGCACATAGCATTTAGTCTTCCGCCTTTTGCACTAGATTGTGATTGGTTTTTTAAAATTATTGATCTAGATTGAAAGTACCTAGAGAAAGTTTTAAAGTAGTCAGATGGTGATGTAAGGGAAAATAATATAACTATCAGTATAGGTCATGTAGTAGAGTGTACACCGCCAAAATGAAATTTCCAACTAGATAGGAAATAAAGACTGAATACAGTCTGCAGTATTTCTATATTTATTTTACAACATACGATTGGCAGTTTTTATTCATTTATTATTTTAGTGTTCTAGTTCAAAGTTAAAATAAGCATATCCGTAATATTAATATAATATTCTATCCGTTTGTTGTCAGCTTGATTTTACTCATGAAAAACTGCGTGCATCAGAAGCTAATGTTTCGGGATATAAACAAGAGATCACTATTCTTCGAGAAATGAATGCTCGCTACTCAACTTCAGCTGCAGCGAGTGAAGCCGAATTATCACGTCTCAGAGACGAGCTGACGCATACGTCTGATCGTCTCACAACAGCAGAGGTGGATGCAAGGCATTTCTCACAACAGTTAGAATCAGTGCGAGCTAGTGAGTGTCGACTTAGACAGGAAATCGATTCTCTACGTCGCCATGACCAAGTTCATTCTCAACTCATGAATCAACTGCAAGCGATACAGGTAATTCATCGATTCTTTTAGATTTAACATTTTTACTGCATTTTATTACCCTATCAGTATTACATTTTCACCTGTGATTTCTTTTTTCTTCGTAGGGAAGTCTTGAACAAAGAGAATCAATGGATCGTTCAGCTAGTGAACGGAAGATTGAGCAACTGGAAAAACAACTCACTGCGGCCAATGCAGCTCTTGTAGATGCCTCTCAAACAGCTAGAATCGCACAGCAAACTCTTCAACATGAGCTGTCACTGTCGCGTGAAAGTGTTGAATCTAGCAGTCGAGAAATTGAGCAGCTCAATGCACGTATCCGGGATTTGGAGGAGAAATTGGCATCAGTTCAGCCTTCTCATGGTATGTAAAAGCCCTAAAAGTAGTGTAAGGCATGCCAGTGAGGTTCAGACTAGGTGCGACTGAGTATACTATGTAAGTGTATATAGGTGTACATCAACACAGTGCTCTTTGAAAATATGGATTATAATAAGTACCATGACACGAAAATTAAGACTGTACCTAAGCCTGAGTTTATCTTTTTTTAATCTAAAATGCAATACTAACAGACACAAATAAATCAACCTAAAACGTAGCACAGAGGGCCACTGACTCAAGTTGCCGCAGTAGTGTACACAGAACAAGTGGGTAGACAATGAGTGATTTCAAAACAGATAAGTGTATGGGAGAAGGAATTTGAAAAATAAAACTGGTGAAAATGTTCAGACTTTTGACGACATCAAAGAGTGAATATATCTGTGCTATTGTGACCGATTTCCAGCCGTATTGCTAAGAATTCAAATCCTTCCTCTTATCTCGAGGACTCTAGGAAACAGTTTAGGTTTTATTCCAGTGAGTTGCAACTCATGGGATGCCTATTTGATTTCTGTATACACTGATCCTAGCTTGTTAACATATGTTAGTGACTCGTTTGAATCTTGTTAAATGTTCATCATGACTTACTAGTTAGTTCATTTTTCTGTTTTTATTTTAACAGAAAATCCTACGGAATCAGAGGTATCTGAATCATTTGTTGAATGTTCAAAGAAGGCGCAGATACGCGTGCGAGAATTAGAGCATGAAATTGAAAGCCTTAAATCCAGTTTAGAATCTTCTCGTGAGCAATCTGATCGAATGAAAGCACTGGCTGAACAAGCAGAAGAACGTCTAAATGAAATTGTTGAGGAGAATAAGCGACTTGAGGGTCATTTTGCCCGTGACATGAATGAGACCAAACAGCGTAAGTTCACCTGTCAATTTTAACTGTTTATATGTTTCTTGGCATTGAAATACTTTAAGATATGCCATTTTAGTACTCACAGTACAGCTTGTTTTAGGTATACTTGTCTTGATCGAATACTTTGCACTTGCAAATCTAATCCTTCATGTTTTGCTGAAACTTATCAAGGGGTCCAAATGCATGAAATTCTTTAATATTTATTGTGTGGACCAAACACTGCTCCACGATTGTTACCTTTTGGTTGCAAATTTATTATAAACGATATTATGGGTTCTAGTGTAATCTTTATTTGGACGGCATACCACTAACTCATTTCGGTTTTTTAAAAATTTCAGGTTGTGAGTTTTTGGAAACTCAACTGGATTTAGAAAAAAAAGAACGCCAGAATCTTGTGAATGAAAATATACGAACAACAGAGGAGGCTCATAAATTGGTAAATTTCTTCTTATTTTTTGTAACGAGAAATTAGGATTTAGCAGCCTTATGAATTCAATTAGTTACCGATAAGGGAAGCTCAATAATTACAGAGTTGTAATCTGATATTAAAAACTCATTCGCCTAAGTTGTTAGACTTGCGAATGATGATGGTAAGTGCAAGCTGAGAAGAAAACACGGATAGGAATAGATACTGGTTGCACCGAAGTGATAAGATATTCATTTTTAGCATAAGCGTATAAGTAGTATCAATTTTTTATAGGCATACTACTGTGAAGAAACAAGATAAGTGGTGATATTTCAAGTTGTTCCACCTCCCTCTAATCGTAAAACATCTAGTTGTAATTTAAAAGAGTTACATTTATAGTGCTCTTTCAAGCGGGAATTAGCCTATCGTTGTCGTGCAACATTTCCATCCAGAATGTATTCAACTCTTTTTCATTGATAATAACTTGGATTTTAGTGTAGACTTCACGATATATTTTCTTGAAATTGTGCCAGCTGGGTGGTTATTCGTCTACAGAGAGAGAGAAAGAATAGCAAAGTATTTTCTGTAGATCATGTGGACTGACCGACAGATAAATCAACGTAAAACCTCGCTCACAGATTTATCGGCTCAAATTGCCACACTTCACAGTATTACAGAAAGAACAGGTGGATAGAAAAAGAGTGATTTCAAAGTAGGAAAAATTGTGCAGGAGAATAAACAATCTGAAGAATGATAGGGTTAAGTGCAAATATTCAAGCTTTCGAAGATCTTAAGGAGTGAATACATCTGCGCCATTGTGACAATGTAGCTATCGTTTCTTCCCAGAAATTTTCTTTCATTATGCTTTGTATGTATTTTCTTATATTCATCTATCAATGAACTGTAGGATAAATTCATTTTTCTAAATTCCATCTAACTTTCCCTCTTAGAGCTATGAGGCATAACACCGAGTACTGTTTGTAAATGAGTTTAATAAATGTGAATTGCCATTAAGAAAATGTGTGATCGAAGATAAATATTAACTACCATAATGTTTTGAATTCTTAGCGAACTAAATTTGTTTCTTCACACTTGGTTTTGTCATGCAGTAAACTTCCAGTACAAAAAAAAAGATGAGAAAACAAGTTTGGGATCCAATCAGTTTGAACTGCATGGTAATCAGCATGTTAATTAAGAGTCTGTGGTTGAGACTGAGTTTTGCAATGCCAATTAACTCGTTCAAATGCAGATTTTAACTGTCATATCCAATGGAAGCGTACTGAACTCAACCAAAACAACTGTGGTTCATAATCACTATCTTTATCAGCAAAGCTAAGGCTTATTGGCTTAGAATTCAAATACTAACCAGTAGATCATGGATTCGAACGTGTAGGTAGTATCACCGACTGTCATAGGTCAGTGAATAAGGCCATATAGTGTTACTGCTGTAGCGTACATGTTGTTCTCTTCATGACTCATAAAGGTCAGTCACCATTAAAAACTTTTGTCGAATTTTCGTTTATGGCACCTGAAAACCCAACCCAGTGAATTTAGTTAAGTAGTGCTCACAGTATATTATATCCTTAACAGCGTATGAAAATTTCATTGTACAACCTGTCTAATCATATTCAAATCGACTAATTTCCATATATTTTCATTCCCAATTTAGAATGCAGATTTGCGTCGCGAACTGGCTAGCTTACAAAATGAATTAGATAGTCTAAAAGCACGCTGTGAATCAGCTCTACAGGTTGAAGCTGGTGCAAAGTCTGAAATAGAATCTCATCAATTGGCTGCTCAGGAGGCCCGTGATAAATATGAACGTGAATTATCATTACACGCACAAGATGTGGAAGTAAGAAATAATAGCAGTGCATTAGTTTTCGTTATTACTGAAGTATTACTAACCATTATTTAGTGTTTTTTCTACTTATTGGTCCTGCTTTCTCATCTGAAAATGATTTGCATTCAGGATAAGGATTGACCTGCCTTAAAATACTACAACTCGTGACGAAACCTGTAAACTAGTTGATGTATAAGTATGTTTGTTAGTTACAAAAATGACGTAAAAGATGCCCTAATCGACTGCATACTTATTTTAAATCACCAAAGAAATGCGCTTCTGCTTTTCATAACGATGTCTATTTTTTGGTTTATTCAAATGATCAAACGATCTGAATTGTTGTCCATGGCTTGTGTGTAGGAAGGGGGTGTAATAGCTTGGGAGAGAGGTTTGGAGAATCGTTAATTTTTAAAAACTTGTCTGCTTTTAGAAATAATTATATTATGATGCTAAATGGAATTTTTTAAAACTTTTAGGATGTCATCTTTCTGTATTCATAAACAGCTGTCATCGTATCTAAGTAGTAGGACATTGTTGTTTATATATGAACGTACTGAACTGTCGATTGACTGCATTCAGCAGACAAACTGGAAAGTTTTTCCTCCTTTTTCAATGTTTTTTCGTACGATTCTAATTATTGTCGCACTAATGCGCATCTGTTCATGATTATACCATTCTTCACTGCAATATTTTTCGCTAAATATCGACTGTTCTGGGTGTCTATGCTTTGGTTATGTGTACTATGTTACATTGTGTGTCCGATAAAATTCTCCGTTTTTATACTCTGTAATCGGTTGTGGTTTAATAATTTTTAGCTATTGACAGCAACACGAGCACAATTGGACTCAGTTAAAATACACGCTAGTGAATTGCAATTGGAACTAAATGAAGTTAAGTCAAAGGCAGAAACTGCGGTGACTGATTTAAAGAATCAAATGGAGTTATGGGAGACGGAGAAGCAGGAATTAGTCCGTCAGTTGAAGCAGAGTCAAGAGGAGCAGAATTTGTTACAAGATCAACTCATTCAGGTCAGTTGTGATGAGTATTATGTCTTTAGTCTACATTGTATTAAGTATTGCGCTGACTACCTAATCATGTCTTTCTGCGTAAGAAAATCCATTTCGTATCTTCACTTGTACTGTAGAGTTGCCTGCAGAGTTAAACCTTGAAATTAATTTTACTAATACTCAGGGTTACCTCAATAGCGTTTGGTTTTCACATCACTTAGGTCTTTCGGTTATAGTAACCTAAACAGTATCAAGCTAACAGTTTTCATTCGCACACCCATAATATGTAATTATTAATGCCTGATTAACTTATCATACAATTCATTCATATTATAGCTTACAGTGGGCTGCACGTGTATGAACGCATGAACTTTTCTAAACTAGGATAAACGGCCAACGTAGAATTTCTTAGTGAAATATTCTTGAAAATGGGGATTAGCGATATTGCTGCTTGTTTAGACTCCTGTTCCTAGCAGTCTACGTCTAACTTCAACATTACTCAGTCGGTAGTCCTACTAAGCGTTAGTGATTCTTGGAAGTTCCATTCACCTACATCTATAACTTTCCAACCTACTATGTCAACTTTGTCTTTCCCCTTTTTCTTACTCCATTATTCCTTTTTTCTCTGCTACTGTTTATTAGTTAGTTTATTAGTTATTAGTCCAGGCAAAACCAGTGGGTTGCAGGTTCAAACCTGACCCCACCTATTGAGGTCCGAGCATCCAGATAGTATTGTTGACCTGCACACAATAGGTGTGACTTGTTGCCTACTGCACAAAAGTGCACACATGCTGAGTTTCTTTTTACTTTCATTAAATAAAATGTTAAGAAGATCGCTAGTTTCGTAACTTCCCTGCATTATTTCTAATTTTCTACTACAGCTCACTCAACAGACGGTCTCATTAAGAAAATCGTTAGATATTTCAAACACTGCCGTAGAAGATGGGAGAAGCTCCATTAGTGATATTGATTCTGTACATTCAGATATACGAACATCTGAGGAACTGTTGCAAGTTATTGGGTATGTTTCTGTTTGTTGGTAAAATGTAACGAGTTATATGTGTCGAAATCTACTGGTTTGATTATCTGTTCGAGCTTTTTTTACAAATTGACTAAGTACTCTATGGTTTCCTACTTTGCAGCTATCTCAGGCGTCAGAAAAATATATCGAATGCTGCCCATGAAGCTGCCAGTGCTGAAGTATCCAGGTTGTTGCTGAGAATTTCTAGTCTGGAGTCACAGAAAGAACAGCTACAGTCTCAGTTGGATAACGAGCGTAAAGCGGCTGAATTGGCTATGGAAACTTCTCGCAAACACTCTGAGGTCATGGAACGCGTTGAGCAATTGAACTTAGTAACTGAATCTAATAGGTTACTACGACACGAAAGAGAGATCTTGCGGTCAAAGTTGTCTGACGCTGAAAATCAGGTTCGTTTTTGTATATGCTAGTAATGTATGATTTAACAATAAACTTCCTGTTGTCCTAACCTGCTTTGAAATAATCCAACTTGTTTGGTTGTTTTCAGACATTAGGTTTAATACCGTCGCATTTTATAATACTCATTAACATATAATTTTTCAAGCATCTCTTCAACGTTGTAAATCTCCAGATTACTATACTAAATTTGTCTAGGTAACACTTAATGGGATGTATGTATGTCAGTTCACAACAATTACTTCTTTCTAGAACACTTTGTATTGACAATATTAACACATTCTCATTATGTTTAAAGTCATTGATTATTTTGTTTCTGCGAAGCGATAAGTCTTTACTACCCCTGGAGAAATACTGAAATTGATGGTTTTCGGATTTTAATTTATTTGTTTGGTATTCCTCTTGTAGCTCACGAAGATGAGTGAAGAAGTTGGACCTTTGAAGCAGTTCAACAGTGATCTCATTGCACAGAAAGATATTCTCACGTCCGACAAAAAATCACTCGAGGAAGAACGTGATCGATGGAAAGAACGTTGTAGTCGGTTGGTAGAAACAGCTCAACGTATGGATCCCGAACAATATAGGCTAGCCTGGTTAGTTCCTTTCCTACCTCATAATGAAATTAATTACTTGATATTGATATCAAAAAATTGAAGTGGATTCAGTTATCATGTGCATTTTCGTGCAGTAGGCGATAATCCACACCTATTTTGTGAGGGCCAATGATGCTACCTGGCTGTCCGGATCTCGGTAAGTGGAGTTGGGTTCGGACCCATGACCCATTCGTTGAAGGCAACTATCTAAACCTATGAGGCACAGTTTTACTGGGATTGATATACTGTGTTCTTGTTAGCTATGAAACTACTTTTTCTTTATTTCTCTGGAGAAGGATAGACGTTGGTGATAAATAGAGACTTTCCTTTGAAACATGTTAAATGTTTTGACTGTAACTTCAGGGCAGATTTTATGAATTACTGTTCATCGTCTAGTTAGTATACATTGTGGTAAGGGTTCTCAACATCGAGAATGGGTAGCAATATCGCAGGCATTTCTAGATGTGCCTTTGTGAGTACTCTTTGCCTACTGCCTGTATTTATTAGAACTATTCATACTTAGTTGGATGAATATTTACTAAGCTTGTTTTTTCAAAGCTTACTTTTGGATGACGTAACTAGACATGTATTTAGATAATACAAGCTTCATAGGATTGGAGATCACATTGACTATTGCCTTCACTACATATTATTTTTGAAAAGAGACTATTGACTTCACACTCTAGCGGTTTGCAACAACAGTGTCATTCATATCACATTGACTATTGCCTTCACTACATATTATTTTTGAAAAGAGACTATTGACTTCACACTCTAGCGGTTTGCAACAACAGTGTCATTCATATGAAGGTAAATTTACTTGAAAGTTACGAACTGTGGAATATTTTTACTTCCTTATTTTCTTGTTTTAAACAGTAATGAGCGCGATGATTTGCAGCGTAGACTAAACCGAGCCGAAGAAGAAGTTCTGAATAATGTCAACAAACTATCTGATCTACGAAATGAATCAGATGATCAAATAAGAAGGCTAAATGCTGTTTTGGAAAATATGAGAAATTCTTATCACGAGGCTGAACAGAAAATCTCTTCATTCAGGTAATTCTTCATCCTTTGATTGACACTTATTTTTGAAAAGGGTCAACCAAGAATTAAAGGGATCAATTTATGTGAGGTGAACTTATAAATATAACAGACTGGCTTTTTCCTCATACATAGTCGTTATTGAACATAAAACTTATATTCTATGCAGTCGACACTGTACATCGATAAGGAAAACAACTTTAGATGAGGCTAGTTATTTTAATTTGATATTTTCTTCCAGGTTGAATTATTTTACTTTCGGAACTTTTTGTTGGTTTTCTGCTTTCCTTTTAGTGTTCAAGACAAGCGATTAAAAGAGGAATTGGGCGCAAAAGAAACAACAATTCTAAAACTTCGTGAAATCGGGCGAAAATATCGTCAAGAGACGGAAGTATTACGTCGACAGCTTAATGCTAGCAGATCTGATGGTTAGTAACATTAGCAGTTTTTAATTATTTGTGGTTATCTTTTTATAAATTATATTTAAAAATTTTTCAAAACGATACGAAAAAGAGTTCGAATAAATACTCATACCCGAAGTGAACCCTGGGGTATCTTGTTGCTAAAGTTGTTTCTTTCGCAAAATATAAAAATTAAACCAGAGTACATTATTGTAGTATATTCTGTAGGGTGTTGGCACAGTTATTTACAAGTTTAGTTTTTCACGAGTAACAGTCAGCTCATTTCCGTTGGATTCGGTAAATTACTGATGACAAGAAAAACTATATAACATACAATTTCAGGAAGTGATTGTTTAGTATAGCTAGAAATTCTTTAGTATAATGAATTTAAGGTGATACTATTACTTAGTAATGCATGGTTTTAGAATGTATATGGTTTTTCTAAACTATTTAGTGGCGTACATCAAAGATCACACTGTAGTTTCCTGCAGCCTTTTAAGCAGTCAAGACAGATGTTCAAAGGATTCATAGCTCGTTTTTCAATAATCCTAACTAGTGTGCATTCATGAATTATGGTTTAACCTAATCAAGTCTACATAGTTTCAAAACTTCATGGGATTTTTTCCCCACTTAAGTTCGTAAACTGCATCGCCTTTTCGCTCTGAAATGGGAATAGAGTCATATACTTGCAAGTGACCTTGTTACCTTGAGTCGAGGAATTGATTATCTACCTAACTGCATCATTGAAAACACAATTTAAGTATACGATTGTATTGAATACCCGTTGTGTCACTTGCAACTGAAAGACGTGACAGAAATTGAAGTATAGAAGTATAGCTATTTGAGATAAATCCTTCTCGGTTTTACCTAAGTTTTAAAAGGATTATGGTAATCGATCAAAAATTTGCGATGTTACGTTGATCAAACTATTCTTTCTACCGCCCGTGTTGATATTGACTTGCATCTTAATTACTTAAGTGACAAGAAATTATGAAGGTTCGGATAATCTCATATCTGCCTCTCATATCCCGCTAGACATTGCCATCGAAGTTGCTTAATTACTGTATTTCAAGACTTTAGAATATTCTCGTAGTTATTTATTCCTAAACATGCCAGTGGATGTTTGATATCATAGTATCCTTTGTTGTAGCTTTCAGATGTACATTTATGTGTAGTAAGCAACACATCGAAGTACCTAAGTACCTGGGTTTGATCATGCTGCAAAGCTAAATGTCTAACTAAGAAGCTAATTACTGTGATTCCCACTGTATCTTGAACAATGGAAATGCTTCAGAGAAACTCTCGAATTCTGGCTTGTAATATTTAATGATTTCAAGTTGTGTTTCTCTTTGCTAATTTTGATAAATGCACTTGTTTTATTTCCAAGTTCGATTTAATGGGTGGTCTGTTGAACATTGTAGGGTAGTATTTTTATGATTCGAAAATTTATTATTTTGCTTCCATGCAACGGATGGATGTACGTCATTGTCTTTTTATTATTTTGGTATTTGTATTTCCCAATTAATGTTAAAAAAATTTGTTTCAACTAACGTTTCGCTATTTAGTGCTAATGTCTGAATCGAAGTTGTAGTAAACTGGAATTAACAATATCTAAGCTTATGTATGATAACTTGACAAGTGTTGTTCTGCATGAATGATTCTGCATCGTTAGAAATGTAGAATAAAGATGATATCCATGTATAGTATGTTGTGTGTGAATTACAGATTGAGATTTATATGTACACATGTGTTGATAGTTATTATCGCATGCGTGATGGTTATATGAGTATGTGGGGGTGGGTTGAGACCAGGTCAAACTACGTTTCACTCCCTCATTCCTATTTAGACGATTACTATTCCACTTAGTGTGAAGAGATTCTGCTATAAGATGTTCTTTATAATTTCTAAAGCCTTTTTGTATAATTTCATTGTTTTTTGTTTATCATAACAGAGGCCCAACTTCAGACTACAAATGAAGCGTTAACTGAGGCTAAAGCTGATTTGGTTACTTTGAGAGCTGATTATTCTTCACTGCGTAGTGAATATGATCTCTTAGAAGCCATTGTGACAGAAGCTTTGCAATTTTTAGATGAAATAAAGGTAAGAATAATAACTTTGAAAATGTTGGTGTCGAATATCACAACGATATGTGTAAACATGCTCATGTAGTTTAAAAATGTTTTCTGAAGTGCTTCCCGTTGTGCATACTTGTTTTTCTAGCTTTACATGATATCCTTCTGTTTTTAGAGTAGAGAGTCTGTCCTGACTATCATGAATTCATACGTTGAAGGATCAGATAACGAAGAGGATCTCAGTTGTTCAGATGGTCGAAAGATGTTAAATGAATTTCGTCGTCTACTTTCTGGCTTTTGCAGTGAAATAGATCGTTTGCAACAGCAATCAGATTCTCAGAAGGAACGTCTACTTCGAACCCAACTAATAGAATCCCAGCTTACAAAGTCTCAGAGAGACTGTGCTGAACTTCGTACTCGTTTAACTGAACTCCAATCAATTAATGTTCATCCTCAGACTGTATCAGTGAGTTTACAGACCAGTGGAGCTCCATCTCCCGGGCCTTCAGCTGTAAGTCTACAAATAAGTTAGCACATTTTGTCGTTGAACAACGTTCTCCAGTGTATATTTGACTCAAATTATTAAATTACCGTCATAGTTGTTGAAGCGTTATTTATCTTGCTGACATAAATAAACTATTATTATACATCATACAATAATGTCATATATGCCCACCATTTTGAAAGGATCAGTTCCTGTACCATTCAGTTAGTTCTTCTATAATGCTAGTTTCGTAGACATATCCAGTTGATTGAGTTCCGTAACATTTTATTTTATACCCCAGTGGTTCCGCAATGCTACTAGGTGATGTGGGTTCGAATCCAAAGGGGAGATCAGACCCCTCGAGGTTTCCGGATACAAGTTGCTTACGAGTGCCTAGTTTCAGAGCTTCCTGCTGCTTGCATCCATTCGACTAATATACTATTTTGTGTTGAATAACCTTTCACTATCACCACTGAAACTTCCTACTACTTCCTTTAAGTTTCTAAGGGAAGTAGTCTCCTCCACCTACCTAGGCAGCGTCGTTTCAGCTGCAGACGGCACAGATAAGGACGTCAAAGCCAGGATCGTAAAAGCAAGACAGGCGTTCATTAACCTGAAATCAGTGTGGAGATCTGCTGCACTCAACTCACCATAAAGAACAAGATCCGGATTTTCAACACTAATTCAATCAAGTCAGTCAGTGCTTGTATGTGATGGTTGAGAGACTTGGCTGCGCGTCACGAAAGGAATTTCAAACAAACTACAGACATACATCAGCTGTCTACGCTCGATACTGAAGATCAGATGGTCAGAAAGAATAAGCAACAAGGAACTCACTCTAGCTGGCGAAAAACCAACCAAGAACCCATCGCCCAACAAATATGCTGAAGGAAGTGGTGACGGATTGGGTATACACTGAGAAGACCATTCAGGGACATCACGCGCTAGGCCGTCGAGTGGAACCCCCATGGGAAGCGACGAGTTGGACGTCCGAGGGTGACGTGGAGGAAATCGTATGAGGAAGAAATGAAAGCTTATGGGCAGTCGTGGAGCCGAGTTGAAAAGACTCGAGGGAAGAGAGTGAAATGGCGACGTGCTACTGAAGCCCTATGTTCCAGTAGGAACCCATGGGACAAATAATGATAATGATTACTGGTGAATTATATTAGGAATTGTATAGAGGAATAATGATCTTTTTCTTCAAACACTATTTTACCAACTTGGATATTCAGTTAGACTGAAAATTTGTTTCCTCTGTAGGAAACTACATGCAAACTTGTTGGTTGGTCTTATTTTTTAATTTCTCCTCTTTATTCGTTTACAGGAATCTGAACCACAAGATGGTGTCCACATAACACATTCTTTTTTACCACGAATTCAGTCTTTGGCTACCTCGCCGTCAACTCAAGCCCTCGGAAATCAGTCACATATCGAAGGTCTAACTGGTTTTAATAACTCGGAAAGTAGTATGGAAATAACAAGTTCGGTTGCATCCTCTCAACCTGCTCCTACCTGGATTGTACGTGCTGCAGCCACTGTGCAACCGGTTCAACCAACACCTGCTATCACTCCACCCAATTCACTTGTTGGACCAAAGCAGACTGCAGAAATAAGACCGATAACAAGTAATGTAGCTGCTGTTATGCCAACCCCGGCGCCTCCATCAGGTGATTCATTTTTTTTTAGGTTTTCACAAGCTCTGTTCATATTATTTTTATTTATCCCATTCTTATGTACATTATTTCCTACCGACCTTTTAGTGCCGACAGGGATTTCAAGTAGTCAATCAGAAAGTGCTCCTAGTGGTGGACCCTCAAGCATTGCAATCTGTTCACCTGTTTCAGATGCAACGACGGGTTCCAGCTCATTACTATTCACATCTTGCGATCAAACAGGTTTGTTATTCTTATAAATGTACTGTTGTATAAATCTTAGTTATGGTTTTGATATTTTGATTATTAAAATCTCTCCTATTCCGAAGACATTTGTGTACTGAGAGTTGACATTTTCTTAACCTAAAGTTTGCCAAAGAACATTGTTTTATTCCTTCCATGTATGATTTTGTCAGATGGAAAAGTTCCACGTTACTGTTTATTAGTGTCATCATTATCAGTATCAGACTTGAACACATGGAGGGCTGAATGTATTGTTTCGATTAAACATCGTTTGCAGTTGATTTATCCTTTTAATTAACATACTGACGTTTCATGAACAAAGTAAACGAACAAGTTTTTCTATCATTCTAACATTTATTCCTGTCTCTACTCGGTTGTTGACTTACTTTAGGCACATATAAATTAGGTAAAGAGAAAGTGAGTCTTTCCCTTGTTTCACCTTACTGTTGTGAACACTAATAACTTGATTCACATTGACTAGACAGCGATATGATGACAGTCTACAAATCATTTTGGCTGATGGTCTTAGTTATCCTTTAGGGATATTGTAAACTTCAATGCTATGCTTTTGAAGATAGCAGGTCATCTTAGCATCTAACAAAAACACTTCTGACTTTCATTGGTGATACGCTAGTACATTCTGGAAATAATTTACACATGCGTAACCTTCATTTTGTCTTTCGTTGTTTTACTTTATTGTGCATGAACGATAAGATTAGCTGTTGTTCGATACTTGTAATCTCCCGTTGCCATGCAGGGTCTAGTTACTCGACCTCTGTTGGCAGATGGGCTCCTCTGTGGAGGCCTAGATGGTGCCTGCAGGTACATCCAGCCGACGAGTATTTCGCATGCCTATTCACCATCTGCCTCGTCATGCAATGTTAGGGAGATGCAGACTAGCCTGTTGCTGTCCATGAAACCAGCAGCCGGAGACTGTAGAGTGTATAGCTCAGAATCTGTCTCTGTGACGCAGATGTTTCCGCACGTTATCTTAATCGCCATACTGAATTCGGCATTTTCTCATTCCTCCTTCCACTGGTTTTGACCGACTCTTCTTTATTTCTTCATCCTTCATCTTATTGCTTTGTTACTTGATGTGCTGATATGGGGCATGGCAACTTGAAGTGTTACGCAGTAATGCCTTGTCTTATGTTAATATTGATATGTTTGCTACTTTATATTTACCAGTTATGGTTAAAAACTATTAACCAGTAGGAGTTTATGGTATATAAGAAATTGAATTTTGATTTAATTTTTTCTATAGCCACATCAATAATGAGAGGTACATTCCTGCGTCGGGGTAATGTGCTTAGTCAACCCCAAGGTAACATCTTAATTCCTGTTTCTTCGCATCCAACTTCTTCAGTTTGTTCTCCCAATGTACCATGTGCAGCAGCCCGTTCAACTACAGTTAGTATAACGGGAAAGCGTAGATTCGAAGAAGGCTCTTCAAACAGTAATGCAGAGTCAACACTTTCCATTGCACCACCAGTTGACGACAACTTTTTTTCAACGAGTGAAGTTTCTAGGAGCAATGAAAACTTGTTTCTGTCGATTCCTGTTTCCAGCCAGTTACATCAGCAGCAAGTATCCCTCACCTCTCTTCCTTCTGAGTCTAAGCGCATCCGTCAGGCGGTAGCCAGTGGTTCCAGCTCTTCAGTTTCTTTTACTCAAGCAAGTCCTAGTCCTATTGTTCTTGGGCGATCACCTTTTGGTGTCAGCGTACCTTCTACAACTCCACTACATGCAACTGCTTCCCGTTTAGTTGCTGGTCAACAAGAACCTAGTAGTAAGTTACATAATGCTTTTCCACAATTTATTTGATATAAAAACGTAACGTAGCACTTAGTTTTATTTTGCTCAGACTTTCTTGACTTAGTATCAGACAAGTACATAATTTCCCTGAACTTCTGTTGGATTCTTTTTGGACGCATATCAACTGAAATTGTGACAGCCGGAATTCTTCGAATATTTTAACTGTTAACACTCCCACTAAACATTGTGATAGTGACAGTAACTCCATTTACTTCTTACCTCAATAATCAGTAGTCTTCTGGTCACAGGTCACCTGATCAACCACAATTGTTGTTAAAATATTCCTGATAAATGGAAATGGTAACAAACTTCATGCTCTTCTGAGCACCTGACGAGCAATCAGCAAAAATCGACAATTCTTGACTGTCACTAACTGGTCAATGAGATATACCACTACCTTCCAGAAGGAAAGCATTTTGTTTATCGTTTTCCTGTTTCCTCACTTACTGTTAAGTAAGGTGTGGCCGCTAAGATTAGGAGCAAATTAATAGTGGATGAAAGTCATTCAGTCGGTGAGGTTATTAACTTACATCTTTGAATTCAATTTTGAGGTTTGTGGGGATTTTATTCATTTTAGGTTGGTATTCATCGTGGATTGACATCAGTTGAAGAAGCATTGGAAACCTGGGAGTACTAGACATTTGTTTCGTCCCACTATGGAACGCAGCAGTGTGCACCCATGACCCCTCCAAGGATCGAGCCTATGATCTTCAGGTCCAGCGGTCACTACGTTACCAATCAGCCACCCCTAACCCTGTAGGAGTCATGAATGCGCACTGATAAAAACTCATACTAGGACGAAACGGCTGTTCAGTGCTCCTAGGTTTTCAATGTTTCTCTAACTGATGTGAGTCCATGTAGAATACCAACCTGAAATCACATCTATCTTTAAAATTTGATAATAAGACTGAATTTTTAAGGAGAAATAAATTGCTATCTTTGAATGGGATATCACTTCACTTCTGGTAGATTAAGCTGACTCTTTATATGGTTCTTAAATGATGCTTTTGTAGTTAAGTGAGCAACTCAACCAACCAGTGATGTGATTTCCGGCGCCACACTCCTTCCGTGGATTTTTTCTACGCTATCATTCTGTTGACTTTTGTATTCGTTCAACCTCTTGGTAAATGGAATCCCAGTTATATAACTTAGAATCATAACCATTTTGACTGTTTCATTTAGCTAAGAAAATGGATATAAGATACATATAGACTAACTTATTTCGATACTAAAAACAGTTTTGTTGTCTGTGATTTGTTTAAAATTTCAACTTGTTGATATGGTCAAAGTCAAGTGGTGCAAATGTTTTTATTGTCAATTTTTCGATTTTTATAGGTTCTAATTGGGGCACACTCACAGTTGCGACTGGTGTAGCTGGTATTATAATCTCTGGAACAAATGAAACCTCAGAAAATATACAATTACCTTCAAGTGAAACTGTTATAGAGGTAGATCAAACTACAACATCTGATATTCCTACTCGTGAAACTCTTGAAAATGAGAATTGCGAGGTTAATAATCGTGCACCAGATCATGTTGAAGTAAGTTTGAGAACGTTCAGAAGTTTATTTCCACCGGATTATTTACTTTGTGTGTTAACTGAATGTATTTTGTTACAGTAAATTATACGATGTAGTTACGGGGTTCTTCGGACACTTGGTTCGGTTTGGTTTGTTACATATGTTTTAATATTTATGATAATGCTTACTTGATTTTTTATTTTGATCCCGTATCACAAGTTTACTGGAGAGAGGGGGGGGGTGGATCACAAATGACAGTTTACCTTAATATAGGTGTAAAACACAGGCCGTGTGATAAACTGTCATTCGATATTAGATTCGATTATTTGACATACAGCGCACAATGATACTGTATTATTTCCTTTATGACGTTTGAGCATAAGTTATTGCTCATAATCATATCACTATTACCACACAACTTTCCACATATGATTTCTATAGTCCTATCAGATCAGACAAAAAACTTAGAGTAATTATCAATTACTGTAATGCATAATCGCAAAATAGGATGCGATGAAGTGGCGACCCGAAAAACAACTTAACAGAGCAAACTGAGAGTTTGATTACCGATAATTGGCTTATCGAATGAACACTGAGTACATGCAATAGAAATGACTCAACACCTGTTCTAGGTGTTTAAAAACCAAAATGAGACAGATCTATCGAAATAGAATGTGAATGTTGTGGAGTCACATTTGATATGAACGGTCATTCAGTACGTAACACACTGTCTCGATGTCCAAAATAGTCAACGAACGAATTAATACAGAATCGCATACAGCCAATGGCTAAGTCCCACTTTTATGTTAAGAATCTGGTGTTTCTAAAGTACTTTATTTAGTAACTGAATGTGATCGATATTGATTTTACACGAAAGATTGGTGGAAAAAAACAGGTGTTCTAGAAGAGGGCTAAATATCAGTCACGAGATCTACTCGCGTCTCTGATTCCTGTTCTCAAATGATCTTGGATATACAGCATACTGAAGTGAATGATATAATGGAGGTCCAGTAAAGTTTTTCGATAAATCAAAGTATTTCTTTTCATAAAGTCATTGTGGCATAAACTATTCTGTTTCTTTCCGAATAGTTGAGAAGAGCTTATCGTTTGAGAGCTGTAGGCGGAAATGGAATCCTAATCTCTAAGAAAATTCATCTTTTCAACTTAATCCCTTCCAATTAGTAACATAAAAACTTGTTTGGATAATTTTTCTTGTTTCTGATAGCAGTTTTGTCTGGATATAATCACATCTTAATCACTATGAAGATATTTAAGTTTCCTGTTATGTTCTGCAGTGTTCGATTTTACATTCGGAGAAAGAAGGTAATATTTCGTAATGTGAACGAAGACAGTGAACTACACCTATTGTGTTATGCCTAGTGATACTACCTGACTTCCCAAACCTCGGTAGGTGGAGCGAGGTTCGAACCAGTGAACCACTGGTTGATAGTCATTTCCTTGAACCATTCTGCCATGGCTCCACATTTGTGGTGCCAATGGTCTTGGGTTTGAAGCAATCAGTTTTGTCATTATATTAGTTTTCATTAAAATAGTTAAGGGTATGTACTCAAAATGGGTTTATTTATTGACTCGGATTACTTGTTTGAAATGCAAAACTCAAAGCTGAAGAACAGTGTTTTTGTACGTGGTTGGGCATATGGAATGCAAACGATGTAAGATTGACTACCTCAGGAATCTTCATTCAATCATTCTTGGATACTACACCTCAATACGTCACCAACAGTGGCATTTAAAGATAGAGGTGGAAAATCATCTTTTAGACTGGCTGAAATAAAAGGCAAAATGCAGAAATTAGACGTAATCCCCCATAACTGATCTCGATTTCTGTAGTTTGCAGGAAAGAATAAAACTCCTATGATAGTCATGCAGGTATATGATTCGAGACTGTCTAACCCGTAGGTCGAATTAAGTAGTCGAACAAACAAGACTTTACGCTACATTGGGTCCTGTTTATCTTTGACGTATAAAGGAGCGTAGGTTTGCTAGTCTACATTTAAACAATAGATGATATGACACAGAATAGATAGCAGTGGTGGAGATGTATCCACAACGTATCTTCACCAAAATACTTGGTATCTCATCACTGTAGAACTCTAGTCCTTTCATCATCTTGCATTTAGTCTTCTGGCTTATCTTTTTGAGGCCGCTGGTATATTGTTTTTCGTCTTTTCTATTCCCTCCTGGTGAAATCCACTTTAATGTGCTGATATGAGGTATGGCAACTGGGATTAGCAGGCAGTCATACCAGTTTATCTGTTGTCTATGTCTCATCTAAATACCTTCCGTTCTTATGGAATTTTAACAATCAATTGTTCGCTATTTGGTTAATTCAAAGAAATTGAATTAGGTGGTTGCCTGTGTACGAAATATGTATTGCAAGGAACGAAGTGGATATCTGATGTTTGCCACAAAAATTAAAAGCAGGTACTTTCCAACTTTCACTCTACTCCTAAACTTCAAGTTGTATTGATATCAATGTAAAACTTGGAAACTGTGGTAGAATGTAACTCCATATTAGATTTGATGAGTTCATATATAGCACACAAGGAATAGTGTTATTTACTTGATGACGTTCCGATCATAAATTATTGCTCATAACCATTTCAATGAATAATAATTTATGCTTTACTTGTTCATACCCTATCGTAAATAGTTTCTTCTGTCTCGTTCTTCTCTATTGCGACTGGTATCATTATTTTCACTTTTCTTTTTCTCAGTATCTCTAATCATATTGAGGTTCCGCTTGTGGCTTTTTACCGTACATTGTTGTTTCTGTTTTCTGCGAAATAATAGTGTTAGTTTTTGCCACTTATAATTTTCATTCATTTTTCCTTATTTAACAGATGATGACTGAAAATATCGAAATCACAGAGTCTGTAATCCCAGCTTCACATTTTGACTCCACTGTGCCAGCAAAACCTACATCAAGTACACATCAAGAGGAGTGTGAGTCTTCTGATAATGAAGAAGAATGCTATTCAGAAAACGATGTTTTTGATGAGGCTGATGCACATGAATCTGCGTCTATGGATGAATACGCTGAAAGCGATTCTAAAGATTCACAATTCGACAACAATAATAACAATGTTGAGTTTGACCATGTTCCTGCATCTTCAGAACCTTCTAATTTCAATGTATCAGAGTCATGCAAACAGGATATTGATACTGTCTACGACGAAGGTTCTGCGCCAGAGGAAGGAGTAGTTGAACAAGAAGATTACGTCGAAGGAGATTTCGATGAATACGAAAGAGAAGGTGAAGCCAATGCTGACTCCTATACCGAAGATGAAGAAGGAGAAGAAGAGGAGGAAGTTATCGAGCTCAGTAGTGAGTCCATCGTGACCGATAAGATTGTCTCTTAATTTACTGATCATAAACTAGTTTTCGTTTGTAGAACGTCTGAACACAAAAGTTTACCCAGTGACATTGAAATCCTTGTTATGGAAACTTGTTTATTGTAATTGACCTATAAATGAGTACCAATTTTGTTATTTCCTTGTACTATATAGCTAAAGACACCTCCTTTATTTCACTATTCGCTGTGTTACAACCGCAAAGGTTATTTGGATACTGTGTGCACAGTTAGCACTGGGAAATCTGATCACTTACACTTCTGAATACAATGCGATTAAAGTAATAAAGCACCATTCGGTTTACTTGTATACTAATACACTTACCGTTTCCTCTGTGTAAAATTGAACGGCGCAACTATGTGCAAGTTTGCTGCTAGTTCCTAGGTGTTTGTGCACTGGAAACTAGCACCGAATCGGTTACATGAGGGTTCTTAATGCAATCTGACTGTCTAGACCGTGATAAGTGGAGTGTAATTCTCTCTTGTGATTCATTAAGTGAAAGTCGACTGCCTAGCATGGTAAATCAACTCTATTTCGTATCCACTTTTTTTAGCACAATTATCACGTGTATATGATGATGATGATGATGATAATATCTAATCATGTATAAAATTTGTGATTTGAAATCAAGTCAGTTGTAACTTGTTTGTACAGTAAATCTATCAGAAGCACAGTTTTATCTATATTTCTTTGTATTATTTTGTCAAGGTGGTTCTGGTGATTCCCAGCCACATGATCTTGATGATGACGACGAGAACTACCCTGGCGTTAATGAAGACTATGAAACTGAGGACACGAATGCACACATGGCATCCGCAGAAGACGCTGAGGCCGTCGATATTGGGGGTGATAGATCAAACGAAAACGATGAACAATTACATCACGATGATGGTAGTAGAGATGCAAATGACATTGTTATACCAGTTACCACTCAAACGTCTAACACATTTTCTACTTCTTCGACTGCAGAAATTCAGCCTCTAACGTCCAGCAGGAGTTTATTTGGTGAATCTTCTATCCCAAGTCTTTTTAGTGGTTCAAATTTACCTGCATGTTCCACCGCAGTTTTGGGTTCATGTGGCCTTTTTTCAGGATTCAAGCCTTCTTCTTTTACTGTTCCCTCTTCTACTACGACTACTGAGTCTGAACTTTCATCTAGCAGTAGCGCGGGGCTTTTTAAATCATTCTTACCTGTCAATACAGCTTCCAACTCGACAACTACACCCCTTCTTTTCAAGCCTTCCGCATTCACTACCACAGTTGCAACTAATAAGGGTAATTAGATTTATAAGCATTGTTCTACTTTCATATCACTTTTAAAGCTATTTACTTATTATAAGATACACTTGATATTGCTTCCTGATAGGTCGATATTTCCTTTTTTTTGCTGTATTCATAAATGTGGTGCACTTTAATTCTTCAGTGCTTAATGCCTACATTGTGCCGTTTATTGATTGTGCACATTTCATATTATTGAATATTGTATTCATTGTTGCTACTCAGCATTCTTTCGTACTCGGGCAGCACTTTAGCTTGGGAAAACCGCAAATTTTATTTATGGCACATGCAGACTAGAATATTATGTACGAATATGCTTGATTCCTTTGGCTTTTTCAAAAGCAGAGGAAATATTGGGTTATCGAGTGCGAATTCTCCCAGCCTTCTGCTTGTAGCGTTTATTGTCAATGTAGCTAAGTAAATATCAAATGAAAGTTTGAGCACATCCTACCACACAGACAAAATATGGAATTTCCTTTAATTTTCAATAATTAGTTGAGACTATACAAAATCCTTTTCGATAACATTTTTACCAAAACGTACGTTGATTAATTCAGAGTCCTAAGTCATTTTGTTTTTTAGAGCACCAACCTACCGTCTTCAAAGGCATATAGATTTTCTACATGAAGTAGTTAGCTGTTTACACATGTTTATTACTGCTAATGAAAGTGTTTGTTCACGATTTTGTTCTGCCATTGGATTTAACAGTCTACAGGCGAAGTGCAGTTACAATTATTTCATAATTTGGCATAGTTAGTGTAAACTAGTGAGGTATCACCTTAATAGTCATGAATACTGGTCTGACCAACCGTTTCTTTCTGTTGTTTTCAGAAACCGTAAACGCTGGTGAAACTGGGACATGTCGACCTAAAATCCAACCAATCGTTTGGGATTCTTTTGATCCGTCTACTGCTCAGCCCAGTGTACCTGATAATACCTGCGCTATTGGCCCAACTCGAAGAAAGAAGTGGACTCCTGTTACTTCTGTGCCAAGAGGTACTAGACGTTCCAGCTTACTTCCTAGTAGAGGTTGTGCTACAGGAAAACCCGGGACCACACGTGGTGGTTTAGCTCCAAGAAGAGGCTAGTAGCTAAACATTGTGATTGTACACTTAAGATTTGAAAATCATATGCATTTTTACTTATATAATTTGGTTTTCACTGAACTGAGGATAGTGTTTGGGTACGGAAATGATTACGAGACTATTACTTAGTCACTTTTGATATTTCGTATGTGACATATAATCGACACGTTATCATTGTTAAGTTTTTAGCATTTTGTTGAGTTTTACTGCAGATATCCGCTCTTCGACATTTACACCATCGGAAGTTTATAATTGGATTCATCTTTTAAGTATTAAATAACGCAGATGTGTAATATTGATAAGTATTGTTGTCTACATGTTCAGTTTCTTATAAGTGTGTTTCATTTGTTTTATTATATACAGAATAGCGATTCTCTACATGAAATGCGCATAATACTTTTCAGACAGATGTTTGCAGCTCTTAGCAGTTCCGTATAAATGGAAAACCACTGCAATGAACTGGTTGGGATCTACGTTCAGCTTCATGATGTGCTTACACTCTAACTAAAATGGTTGTTTATTTGAATAGATTTATATCGGAAAAATCACAATAGCATTCTTTTTCTGCAGAATCTTTACTTTCTTTGATGTATTCGCAACAATAAATCCTATCTTCTCCCTCATGGTTTCGGTCCAGTTTTTATAGGCCAGCCTCCATAAACATTCGCTTCAGTTCACCACTTTCATGGAGTCGCTTTATTTCTACTTCTCCTCCCACATGTTTGCCATTCAGAAATAAATGTGGTACCTGAAAATAAATTATAAGATTAGAATCTGAAGTAACCGATTTCTTATCGTGTTAACAATATTTTTTCCATTCACTAAACATTATTGACACACTTCATAGTAGTAGAGACTTTCCGCCCAGGATGAAAATGTTAATTGTTTGGAGTTCTTCGAGGTTTGACTTTTGTTCTTGGACGTTTCATCAGCATTTGCTTCGTATACTTCCCTGAACATTTAATATTTTATTCTTCATCGTCTCAATAATAATCGTTCATATTCTGGGATCCACATGCTTTTCATTTGAAAGGGGGGGATGTGTGTTTCATGAATGAGAATCAAATTTTACTTAAATTTAGAGTTATTTGCTTAATCTAAATATCTTATTGCGTAAAGAGTGTTGATTGTTTGTCACAGGAACGGAAGGCGTCCCATTGCTTGTGTTTACTTCATGTAGCTTATGATGAAGAGATCCAATTTGTAATAATTTGTGCAACAAAGTGTTGTTGACTGTTGATAAGTAGCGACCCGACTGATAGATGCTTTGACTTGGTAGTCGGGTTTGAATATCACAGTGACCCAACGAGCTACACTGACTGCAACACATGTTCTCTTAATAGCTTGTAGCAGAAAGGTCTTTTGGATAGTAGCGAATACTTGTAAGTGTCTCACTAATCTTATTTACTAAGTTGCCGAAACAACAGAACTGTTAATGGTAAGTAAGCAAATTGTTATATTCGTTGCCATTAAAGACATAAAATCGGTATGTTAAGCGTAGCCTCGTAATTAATACAACTCAAAGCCGCGGAAGTCCATCGTAGAAAGAAAGAATGGTTTATTGTTGTATAGGTAAGTCAGTGAACTCGAAATAATACACTTTTTGAGTTGCAGGCAACACAATTCTTTGTGGTTTAAACCTACGTTTCTCATATTGCTACAGTGTAAAGACATAACAATCTGAAGAGATTAAGAAAAGTTTCGTGGTAATAATTCGGGTGTCATAGAGTCATATCACCAAAGTTCCCCAAACATTGATTCATATTATCTTCAGGACCCCAGTCAAGAAGTCTACACTCCTTTTGCAGCTCAGACCAAAAGTCCAAGGCCTCACTGACTAGTTCCTCGTTTTGTTCTGACCACGCTGAGCCTTCTAAACCCAACTGTACTTTAGCTAACGCTGCATTTCATGGTAGTTAGTGGCCCGACATAGGCTACTTGTCCAAACCACCCCAGTGTATTGCAGTGAAGTAGTATTACTTACTGGATTCTATTACAAACACAATTTATTGTCAGTAGTCATATCAAGATCTTGGTACAATTACTGTTGGTAAATTGTGTTCGAAAAGTTATCCAGTAAATAATACTGTTTTAATAAATCAACTAAACTGCAAATGTGTATGTAAAGTATTCCACATAGCGATAAGTTTCAATGGGGTTGTGACGAAAGGGATATTGAAAAAGGAGGTACAAGGTAACTTTCAGATCTATTGAAAGTACTGGTTACAACAATTTGACTAGGAATTGAAACAGACTTCTTTCATTCCTTTAGATTCTTTCCAATCCAATCACGTGCACATTATTTTTCCTACTGCTATTTCTTTCTGAGTCAACTCTAAAAAGTTTTTGCGAACAGTAATTAGCATAACTGTTCGATAAATTAAAAAAGAATTGGGAGTCAGATGCCTGCTTTAGTGTCGTTTCGATGGTTATGCCTTCTAGCTTATAACAAATGGTAATCATCACCCACATTATGTGGGGACCAAAGCACGGTGAAGTTATCTAAAATTCCTTCTGTAATTCCATGACAGATAAGATCAATCTCCACTACAAAACAAAGAAGGTAAAGACAAGATATGATGGCTTTACAGCTTGGTGACAATAAGTACATCATATGTCACATTGTGCAACACCAAAACATACTCAACAAGAAATAATACATTTCTCAGAACGGTTTCATGTCTTAGGATCAAGCTTCTTCTTTATAATGTGCATGAATGCTGTGAGACAGTGAATGGTAGCCATAGTTATCAGATTATTTGGGCATATTTTCGTGCTTACTCGATGATTCATAGAGATCACTTGTTATTTCAGCAAGCAGATGAAGCTGAAACATTAAGCGTAGGTTGTGTGAATGTAATCTGTGGTATGACATTTTCTCCAACCGATCAACCTCAGTCTCCTTTTTTTATCACACATGGCATGGCAAGAGCTGATTACATTGCGACTGACTTGTGTTAATCTACTTATATAAATTAAGGCATTATTATTACTACTATTGATTTACGACTTATGGTTTTTTAAAGATAATGCTAAATAATGACAATGATAACCAAAATGATCATTCAAATTGTAATAGACTAATTGTTTTGTCTCGATGAAATGCGATCAAGGAAATAAAAAGATCCCCAAATAAAGCCAGATTCAGTCACCAGAAAGATAAACCAATGGAACGTCGACACATTATTAAATCATACTGACGAAAAATAGAAAACATCATGACTTCCTTTTGTGAGAAATTAATACTTAAATCTTTCAGATTTCACTATCATAATTTCCAAATAAGTTCGGCATAAAAAGTTCGACGGCAACTAGACTTAGATCACAACTGAAGAGCAAAAGCTTTTCTAAATTATGAAAAGATGTATATTATCGCCATCAGCCAGTGAAATCCTCACAGTAGCTATTACACCAACCCGTAATTCTAAACATCTAAGAATATTTTTATAGTATCATATGTAATCACTGAATTCTTCCTTCTGATTATAAATGGCCAAGTACTATGAATGAATTCTTTTCCTGTGTAAAGACTAATGCGACAACTAGAAGGTAGTGTAGTGTTTTCATATTATTTTACTGAAACACTGTTTGAGATTTTATTCGTAGCACTTCGACATTATGTATGTTAACCTGTCTATGTCTATGATGAAAGTGTATCAGCGATGTTATGATGTCTCATGGGCTTTCTCAAGCTTTAGTTTCAACATATTATTGCGTTTATCGAATTCTGACAGTTCACATGACATGGAATTTACCAACATGCATGTACCTTATAAGGAAATCTATCCACAAAGCTGCATGAATAAAAAGTACCCATTCACAGTCATTACCTACAGATTTTTTCCAGGTGAAATAATTTCTTGTTCAGTTTTATCACGGAATTCCGATTGCATTGTTCATATGAAAAATTTACGCAAATGTTTAAATATTTACGGATATTTAAAATTCTACTTATTAAAATTGTTCAGGGTTATCTTCTTTCTAATCCTAGCAAAGCATGGAAATAATGATACTTTCAAAAATAAACAAAATTTATGAAGATATTACCAACTAATTTTTTCGAAATTCTACAGTGAAGTTTAAGAAAGTCATATATTCAAAGTATACCTAGTTTCGATTTAACCAAATACTGAAAACAAACTTTACCTTACATAATTCACACTTTACCTAGCCTAAAAATGATTTGTTACTTGTACATGAGAAACAGGATTTACCACGTGTAAAGCTCTTTATATATGGGGTAATAAAACGAATTGAGGTGCAGAATTATTTTCCTCACTTATTTAAGGTCATATAGAAAGTGGATTGAGGGATATGTCATTTAGTTCATCCTACTTAGTGTCAAATTATTGCTGGTATTACGTGCAACTAAGGGCCAAAAAGAATTCTAATGTCTTGCTGGTTAGAACAGTCACCTATTTTGTGTTTCTTGACTTAAGCTGATGTGATTGACATCAAATGTTATGACACTATATGCACCCGTATTATGCTTATTGTACACTCACGTCAATATTTTTATAAATTAGATCTCATTTCCCTTAGCTTTTTCAGTGTTATGTGAAATTTCTTAGCTGAGACAGTTTCCAAAATTTCCACACCATATAGACCTGTCTGGACATGATTCAGTCGTAGCTTATGAAGGTTAGTCACATCGAATCTTTATGGTGGTCACCAACTTCAAATCAATCAATCTTCATTAAATGACATTCGATAACCACTTTTCAATGCAAATGACTGTGCAAAAGTACGTTTATATTTAAATTGCACTGAAATAGAAGTTCATGTTACTGAAATCCAACTAAGTCAAGGCTTCGTGTAGTAATTCTTGTTGATCCTGAAACAGTTACCCATCTGTTGATTAGAAATGTTTCAACCATTAACGATGCTATGATACTTATTCCGACGTGCAATATATGTATAAGAAAAGCCTAAGGAGGCTGGCGCCAATTATAATGCTCACTGATTCGTAGACGAACTATGACACTATGCCTATAAATGACGCTGATGCTGCAAAAGTGAACAACATGTTCGACTGAATTTAACCAAAAGCCGATTGGAAGAAGCCTTCAAAGGTTTTCATCCTAACTACTAAGTTTATCAGGCTCGTTGAGAAGGCTTTCAATGCGAGATCCAAGGATGCGCCACTAACGTCTAGTGTGATCTTGTAGAATGTTGAAGAGTCGGTAGATGAAAATCGGTCAATACACTATACACAAGACCTGAAGTTGGTCTAAAGATATATCCTACCGGAAGATCATTTTGGACTACATGTGTTCAAAGTATTCAGGTTAGTCAAAAAAAGCACAAGCCTGATGAGTGGAGGATTGTCCAGGTTGCTGTAAGTAGTAAATGAGAAACGGATGAACTGCTGAACATTGGATCCAAACTACATCATTCAGACATCCGCAGTCCACCAGAGTGGCCTTTTGAGGATCAGAATAAAAGAGCAGAAGCAATCCCTGAATTATGAGCTCGCCAAAACGGGGGGAAGATAAATTCAGAATTGTCTCAGAAACAAGTGCTCCCAAGGCCTGTATAGGTGGGTCGAAGGACTCAAAGTCTTCTACGCGAATGTCTGCAGCGCTATGAGTACAATAACAGCTGGGGACTTAATTCTCTGATGTAGCGGGTGTTGACCAATCCTGGTTGGTAAAAGACTTAGCTGTGACGCCACTTCCATCAGGGTATTTCTTTATTAGAACGGATGAGGTTAGAAGTCTAAAGGCTGGTGGCATACTACTTTATGCTCATGATATTACCTTTAGATATGATTAGTTATTTCCGAATCACATCACTGACGTATGTGCGAAGTAGCCAGTAGTGAGTTTTACTCAATGCAACGTATCCATCCTATTAGCAGTAATTTACGAAGCCCATCTTACCTTGCATATGACCTTGTACTGATTTATATACTGAGTTTAAATAGAAGCAACAGATACCTAATAGTTGGGGATCTAAAAGAGGAGATATCTCCTCGATTTCCGAGTAATCGTAAGCCTGCAGAATTCATGGGTCCTGATAACTTGCATCCTAAACCCCTATTCTCGCTAGCAGATGTTGCCATTGAGAAAGCCACTGATTTTTCCAAAATATTCTTATTAAATAGAGCTATGCTTTAGTGAAGATGACTCAAAACGCTAAACTAGTGAGGTCTTTATATAAAATTTCAGGTTATATGCTGTGTCAATTGTAAAAGCTGAGGGCCAAAAACATTGTTCCGAATGTCTAGAATGTCCTACCAAACTCTGAGTCAGATCATAAATCTGGCCTGGTATCTGCTATATTGGGAGCCTAATTTTCCCTTTTTTTCAGAAATATCTATGTGTACATATATAAATTTATATACGGGGCATGACGTCATGCATCCCACAGGGCCTAGTACCTTGGCCAACGAAAATGTCGACTGAGAACTCGTTCTTCAAATCTGAGTACACCACACTTCAAATCTTCAACATTATCGGAAATAAAATAACGGAAATAGTCACCTGCCTATTTCTATATGTAAGTTTGTGCCATAAATATGTCTCTATCACTCCGCAGTCATGGCGCAAATCGATGTACAGTATTTCAAAGTTATCACTTTTTTCGTTGTTAAGATTGTATTTTCTCAATAAACCTTCAATAGCTTGATACGCTGGTGAACTTTGCTTTGATATTAGGAGGACTTTTCTTTGTTTTATCTTTGCCTCAATAAATTCTGTACCAATCATTTTTGAAGGGTCACTTCTTGGTTGCTAGGCAATTGGTATCCAATGTCCAATATTGATAGTGCGAGCGTAGAAAACTGGTAGTTTTTGATCTCTCGCGTCTAGTTCTTAGGGCTTGGTTCCAGTTGTTCGGTTTACTCCTGCAGTGGACGAGGAAATCCCCTCTGCTTTCTTGCTTTTAGCTTCGGTGAGGTGGATGTTTTGTGGGTTAGTAGGTTGTAATTTGTAGAGTGATTAGGGAGCTACGGGCTGCTGGGAAGTTTAGAGAACAACCGTGACTCCTGTCTGTGTAGGTACCTGAAAGAGAATATTAAGGTAGTGGTAAAGGAATGAAGAGAGAAATAGGGAAGAGAAAAAAAAAAAAATAATAATAATAAGTAGGGAAGAGAAAAGGGAAGGAGAAGAAAAGAAGGGGTGAAGAGAGAAATGAGAACGAAAGAAAAGTATTTGGGAATTGCCCGAATGGTCGCGTGGGTTTGGTTCCTACAGAAGAATTAGTAGGTAATGTGGGTGTATTAAGGAGAGAGATAGTGAGTGGTAGTTGGGAGGGAGTTGGGGGTACTGAGGTTGATGACTACCTGAGTACGTCCGTGGTAGTCCATGCGAGGTGACATAACTGTCTAATCGCCTCTTGAAAGAGTCGATTGAAGGAGCTATAACGATGTGTCGCGGTAAGGCATTCCATAAAGCACATACTCTTAGGGAGAAAAATTTGGACCTGAGTGTGGTGTTGGCTCTCTGGTGTGCTATCTTAATGGGGTTTCCTCGTGAAGATCGTTCAGTTGCAGGCAAAATTGATTTGTTTGCATGGTCTGCCTGATGGGCGATCTTGTATGCCATAATGAGGTCACCCCTTTTCCTGCGATAACCCAAGGTAAATAGGTTGAGGTGTTTAAGTCTTTCAGGATACGTCTTTCCCCTTAGCCCCACAACACATTTTGTTGCAGTTCTTTGTATTCTTTCAAGGAGATTAGAGTCTCTCTTGAGTGTTGGAGGAGCCACCGTATTGAAGACCTCTAGGTGCGGCCGCACGTAGGATTTGAAAATGGTGAGGAAGAGTTCGGGAGTGAGGGCGCCAAGCTGTCTACGCAGAAAGTGTAGAATGGCGTTCGCTCTGGTTGTCATACCTTTGTAGTTGGAGCTGGTGTCCAAGGTGTCGGAGAAGTTGAGCCCCAAATCTTTCTCCATGGACACTCTGGTGATAGCACGGTTGCTCAACATGTACTGGAAGTCGGTCGTACTTGCCTCATTTTTACTGATGTGCATTACTTTGCACTTTTCCAGGTTGAAGCTCAGGCCATTTTCCGACGACCAGAGCTCGAGTTGCTGCAAGTCCTTTTGTAGTGCTGCACAGTCGGCTTCTTCGTTTACCACCCTCCAAATTTTTATGTCGTCAGCGAAGAGGAGGATGGGTGAGGATATTTTGTCTGGCAGATCGTTGACAAACAGGAGGAACAGAAGCGGTCCTAGGATTGCTCCTTGGGATACTCCTGACGTCGACGGTCTCCACTCCGACCTTATTCTGTTCACTTTAGTGCAGAACTGCCTCCCTTCCAGGTACTCCTTGAACCAAGAGAGTAGGGGTCCACTTATACCAGCTGACATGATCTTGTGAAGCAGTACTGTGGGTGGGACACTGTCAAATGCTTTGGCTAGGTCGAGAAATACAACATGTACAGGTTTTCTATTATCCCAGCTTTGTGTCCAGTCGTCCCAGGCGGTTAGTAAGTTGGTGGCACATGAGCGACCACTACGAAAGCCGTGCTGAGCAGTGTGGACAGTGTTTTCTCTATTGAGGAATTCCCAGATGGTGTCAGCTACCAGGCTTTCCAACACTTTCGACACAATAGGGAGTAGGGCAATCGGCCTGTAGCTGCCAGGGTTTTTTCTGTCTCCTCCCTTGAAGATGGGTGACAAGATGGCACTCTTCCATTCTTTAGGGAGTTTGCACGAGTCTATTGAGTGCTCAAAGAGGTTGCGAAGTGGTTTGGTAAGCACCTCGGCGCAGTTTTTCAGAACCACTGGTTTCAGGTTATCGCAGCCAGGGGACTTGCCCGGACGTAGCCTAGATAGCTTCTCGAACACCTTTTTCTCTGTAATAGAGACGTGACAGAGGTATTCGTTATTTGCGACCTGGTCGGTGTTTCGTTGAGTCGGTGTGGATCTTGTGTCAGTGCTGAGTTGGGCTTGGAAGTGTGAGCTCAAAAGCTCGGCAATCTCTAGACTGCTTAGCACACTCCCGTCATGGCCTGTGACAAGATTCACTCCCTTACTGGTCGACTTTCTTCTTGACATGAAGCGGTACAGGTTTTTGGGGTTGCTTTGTAACCTCGCTGCCAAGTTTGTTTGGTAGGAAAATCTGTCGTTACGCACTCTAATGTTACAGAGATTGCGAATCCTTTTGTAGTTCAAGAAGTCAGACTCCCTGCGTGATGTGCGCCACTTGAACCAAGCCTGCTTCTTGCTCCGGATAAGCCTCTCTGTCCCACGCTTTAACCATGAGGTTCTCATTGATTGTCTGTGTGTTACTTCTGGTACACTGTGACTGATGGCCCCAGTGATTATTTTCTTCACCTCCAACCAGTGTTCATCTATTGTGAGATGAGTCCAGTCCACTGGCCATGATGCATTCATGAGGTAGTCCCTCATGGTCTCATAGTTGGCCTTGCTGTAGCAAGGGAAGGTGTTGGGCGTCTCCAGTTGCAGAGCCTCCCTAGTTATCATGGAGAAGGTGATTACAGCGTGGTCACTGAGGCCAAGGGGAGGTTGGATGCAAACATCCTCAATGAGAAGTTCATCGTTCGTCAGAACGTAGTCAAGGCGCGATGCGTTTCCGTTAGGTCCCCAGCGTGTAGCATCACCCACTTTCTCTGAGAGGCCAGCAGTCTTAATTGCATCCTTCAGCTTCTGATTGAAGGATCTGATGCGTCTCCCTTCCGTCTCGAAGAGGATGGACGGGGTGTTGAAGTCGCCGGCAATGACTACGGAATCGTAATTTGCAGAGGAAGTCGTTAAGATAGCCTTGATGATCATTTCCTTATGTGTAGGGGAGCAGGTGGGGGACCGATATATGACTCCGAGCAGGTATTTGGTACTGTGGAGAGTGAAGTAGCACCATAGGGACTCTGGGACCTGGGTTAAGGCCGTATCGCTAACCATCCTTGCCTTTAAACAAGAGTTTACGTAGATAGCCACTCCTCCTCCTGCTCTATGTTCCCTGTCCCTGCGGAAGAGTTCCATGCCAGTAACATGCATCTCTTCGTCGGAGATGTCTGGCGAGAGCCAGGATTCGGTGATGAATATGATGTCGGAGTGCTGATGTGCACGCAGCGTCCTCATTTCTGCTACCTTCCCTCTTAGCCCCCTAACGTTGCTGTACATACATATTAGAGTGTGCCTGGTGAGGGGGAGGTCTGGTTGTGTATTTTCGCAGGATGACAGCTTATGTGGTTGGGTCTACCCTCGCCAGTCCTCATAGGACTGGCATTGTTCCGTTTTTTGGTGTTTTGTTATTAACTTGGGTGGGGGCTGTGGCAGTGGTGGCTTCTTTACTTGATGTATCTAACTCACTGGTCAGCGCCTGTGTGACGACCACTGACTCCAGAGGTCTTGGTGGTTGTCGTCTCTCCTCTTGCCTTGTGGGTCTAGGCTTACTTTCACATATACGTATTGAGCCACCCATGCGATCCTTCGCATTATACCATGCCTGTAGAACGTCTGTGAGGGAGGCATATGAGTCGAACTGGACGGCGAGTAGTCTGGGATTGGGTATGGTCTTCAGGTGCGCTGGCCTTGGCAGTCTACTGACGCTGTTGGCCGGTATACTGTTGAGACCAACTTTGGTTGAGAGCCATTGCCATTGTTGGACGTCGTGAAAGTACCGATCTTTGACCGAGCGGTCACTTGGCAATTCTGGAATCCCATGTACAACTATAGTGTTGTTTCTGTTGGGATTTCCAACCGCTGACTTTCTCTCCTCCTCTCTTATTGACCATGGCTTGTCAGGCCTGGCCCGAATTTTACAGGCATTAACAACGTCCGGTTGTCGCGAGAGGAGGAGTGTGTCTTCAGCCTCTTTGGTAGTATTTAGGGACACACGTAAAGGGGGTGGCTTATCTCGGGGTGCACGGCTTCCTCGAGAAAGGCGACATAAAGTTGCAGGGAGGGGAGGGAGTCCTAGCATCTGACAGTAGTCGGTCCACATTCGGCTGTCAAACCGTTCCCTCTCGACCAACAATGAGTCTGTCGATACATCGACGTTGAACAAAATGATCGAGTTGGTCCTCCTGTGACCTGGGTTCGTTGTGGGTGGCACGCTTGACTTCCCAATGGGTTTGAGTAATTCCACTGGTTGTTTCTCAGTCACGGTGTGTGGGGTGTTTGGAATGGGTTTCGTAGAGGCTTTAGCGGTCGATGTCTTTGGCCATACGCTTGACGTCCCCTGGGGCCGGGTAGGAGGTATGGAGACTTGACCTAATATGGTCCCCACGCGAGGTGGCGTGCCCACAGCTGGAGCTCTAGGTCTGTTTCCAGGTCTCTCTGTGTTATCTTTGGTGTTAACCCTACTTTATTCGAGGGTGCTGGTAGCTTTTGCGTGGCGGAGAGCATCTCCTTCAGGCTTTCTGTGCGGAGTGCGGGCATTTTCCTGCACTCTGGACAGATGTACCAGAACCACTTGCATGGTTGTCTCTTCATCAGCTTATAGTATTGTCGGGGGACTTTGGTGTCGCAGTGGCAATGCGCCCATCGTTGACATAGGTTGCATGCAAATGCCTCATCGACTACCGAAACAACTTTGGTGCAAACACTGCAGCCATCGGGTGTCGTAATACAGCATTCCTTGCATGAATAAGGTGCTACGGATTGTGGCGAACTGCTTGTGGCTGCCTTGTGCTGAAGCCTTTTACGTCGTCTTCTATTTCCAGGCATGGTATGATCCTTGCTCAAGATAGGACTAGTTTGTGACGGGCTAGTGCTACTCTGTGTCACCTGTCTGATGGCTACTGGAATTCTAGA